TTCTGTATAATAGAAAAAAAAATGTAATCATGATAGTGGAAATAACAAAGGGCCAGAATACTACGAAGAGGTAAAAGAAAATGCACAATGAAAATATAGGCAACAAAGGATACTTATAATAACACCGAAGGATATTTACATTTAACAATCAATTTTCGCAACAGCACGACCCCAAAAGTTTACTATTCAATTGTTTTGAATCTAAACAAATTGTTCTATCAATTAATGTAAGTCCTACAATATTAAGTTGATGTTCGATTCAAGTATTTATTGGTGAAATCGAATGAATTCTGTCAAAATACTTTCGAATAATAAAGAAATGCATCAACATTTGATTTCCAAAACGTAACAGCCAAGCCGACTGCTCTGATTTTTAACAAATAAAATTATATTAAATTTCTCTCGCATAGATTTTGTATTTTAATGAATAAAGTTAATTAATATAAGTAGAAAACAAAATTTATGAATATCTAAAACTACTGATTATATTCAATGTCATTTAATGGATTTGTATTTAATTTAAGTGTGAAATCTTCATTGAATTGATCATCAATATTATTTGATGAAATAAAATCTGATCTATTATTATGAATAAAGGGTTGTGTTTGTTCTGTTGTTGAATTATATTTGACAATAATTTTCATCATTGTATTTGATGTGTGTTCTTGATTTATATCATCATCAAAACTATTATCATTCATATGTGTTAATTGTTGATATGAATCAGCTGTAAATATTGGTAATTCTTGACGACGACGACGACGAAAACAAGAAAATTTATTAAACATATTTATTATTAATAATCGTCGTTGATGTGTTGAAAGCATATAAATACATCCTAAACCAACTATCAAAGATATAAGAATAAATATAAAAGATAAAGATGATAAACTATGATTATTATTATTATTTTTATTATTTTTATTATTATTAATTAATTGAGTATTTTCTTGACACATTCCTTTTGGAATATAAATATTTATTTCTCCTTGCATTTGATGACAATTATGAATTTGTTTATTAAATGAACATTTATTTTCTTCATATTCTTTTTCATCCAGAGACATATTAAAATAACACCATGGTGTAAGATCTTTTAAAATTAATGGATTAACTGTATGACGAAGACGACGATATAAATAAAGAACTGAACATGAACACAAATTATTTGGTAGAATTTTAATTGGTATATGTGCTGGTATATCAATAATTCGACATAAATCATTATCAGTTAATATTCGATCAAGAATTTCTAAACGTTCTAATGTTATTGATTGATTAAAACGAAAATAAAAATCTGTTGAATTCATTATTTGAAATAATATTTGACCACCTTGACCTTATTAATAATATTTAAAAAAAAAAAAGGAAAGCAAATTTTAAATGAAAGAAAAATATTTAGAAAAAAAAAATAATTACCTTCATTAATATTAACAAAAGCATTTGTTGCCATTTGTAATGTTCCATATGAATGTTGAAAACCAATACGCATTATACTTGAACGCCATATATCAATATTTTGAATAGCATTATCTTCAAATATTAAATTTTTTCCATATTTTATCCAAATATCAAGTAATGATCGATCTTCTTGATGAAAATAATTTAATGATTGATGAGAAAAATAGACATCTAAAGAATTTGTTATAAAAATTGCTAATTTTGATTGTGCACGTTGACTTATATTAATAAATGTATTCGGTGTAAAAAGAATATTTTTTCCATAATTTATTTGAAATTGAAATGTTGAATTAATATCTTGTTTTATTTGACTAAATGTTTCAGCAGGTAAACATAAATCATTTGTTATATTATATATTGAAAATATTATTGAAGATTTTACTAAAAATAAAAAAAAAAAACAAAATTCTTCTTATTTAATTGAAGAAAAAAATATATATTTAAGAATTTACATTGTGTTATTGTATCGAATAAAGTTTTCTCAATAGTTATACTTTGAAAATTTGAAAATGTTAAATAAAATTGTGATTGATCAAGTTGATGAAGATCAAAAAAAGATATATGATCAAGTATAGCATATTGAAAATGATCAAATTGTATTCGTAATTGACTTGCATGTTCTTGTGTTATATGATCAAAACTATGTTCATTTAATGATACTCGAAGAAAATTTGAAAAATAAAATTCCATTGTTGCATAAGATGGTAATAAAATCGAGCCTAAAAGTTTTTAAAAACAAAATAAAAGTAATTTTTCAATGTAGAATAATAAGCAAGTTTTACCTGCATTTGATTGAAATTCTAATTTATCTTTTAAATAAAGTATTGAAAATCGAAATTCACTTTCATAACTATATTTAATACCATCAAATGCATACTGTTCTACTGTTAATAATGATGATGTTACATTGAATATTTCAATATCAATTTTAGATTTTGGTTGCATTGATATTTCATCAAATATTCTTGTTGGTATTCTTGATGATGTATATTTAGATATTTTAATTGACAAAGTTCGTTCTTGATCAATATCAATTTTCGAAAATGTATTTGTTGATATACCATTTAATAAAGCAAATTGTATTGTAAACGATTTATTACTATCATAATCAAATAAATCATAGGAACGAAATGCTTCTGATGGTAATATATTAACATTTTCATCAAAAAATATTACATTATAATAATAACATGTACGACATTTACTAGGTAATGATGAACATTGAATATATCCATGTGTTGAACTACATGTACATTGATGACGTTGAAGATCTTCATCATTTGAACAAGAGGCATTAGTTTGAGTAAAACAACTAAATAATAAACACCATGACCACCAAGTTAGGTATAAGAACAACATGGTCATATGTGCGTGTGTTCGTCTGTCTGTCTGGCTGTCTACTTGTATGTAGAAATATATATATATATATGTACGGGTGAACAACTCAAGTGTTGGATACGTATATGTATGAAATAGAAGCGGTCAATTTTTTACCACACATTTTCTTTGTGAGACAGAGAATGAACGAAAAAAAAAAGAAGTAAAGAAAAAGAATAAAGAATTGAATTGCTTGTACATTGAATTTTGTTTCTACTCTTTGCTGTTGATCAGTTGTGTACGATAACAACTGATTTGTGACCTAATGTCCATTAACAAACTGATGCCCCTCATACAAACAAAATGAATCTCATTTTTCTTTACTTATGTGCCTGTAAGCACTAGACTTTTTCACAGTTATAGGAAAATAATTATTCTTATTGGCAAAGCAAAATAGATAAAGCATATAGCCCAATCAGATAAACCATATGAAACTTGTCTGTTGAATTTTCGAATTATTTACTTTCATTTCATAGATCTATTTTACTGCGAAACTTCTCTCAAATATAGTTTACTATCTGTTATATAGCATTAAGTGATATATAAAATGTAAAACGACTCAAGTGAAAAAAATCTTACGAAATTGTACAAATATTTTATTGTAGAATTTAAAATTTATCTGACTGTGAAATGCTACTGTGAATCTTATTACTATAAAATTTTTGCAAAGTCTAATGATTGGAGTCTTGTAAGATTGTATTCAGATCATAATTTTAGATTGCATTTATACAATTTATTTTGATAATGATAGTTTTGTGTATTCAAGTAAATATTTAAACAATTAAATATATTAATCAAATTGATTCAATAGAATTAGATTTTCTTTTGTTTAAATTGTTTATTTTAATTCATTTTAACAGGTCCATGAAAATTACTTTCAGGACATTTACTTTTGGATGACAGAAAAAGTAAAAATAAAGGGTAAATGTGGATTTGGATGTTGGTGTGACTTTTCTTGCATCCCTGCATACTGACATTCACACCTTCAAAATGCTGGTTTCTTTTTTGTTAGTATTACTTTTCTATCATAAATAATTTCGATATAACTTTATGAAAATCTGTAGATCTAAAAATTTCAGTATGGAAAAGAAATCCTAGTTTATATGCTGCATGTATCAGAGAAGTATATGTTCCTTTGTAGTAATTTGCTAATAATGTCTTCCGTCTTTGTTTTGTATTGATTTAGTTTATTTGTTTGAGTTAAAGCTTTCGTTCTTTTATCATAAATCTCCCGACTAATTTTCGTTCAACCATTTTTCATTTTCTCCATTTTAATGAACAAAATTCAATAAAAATAATTCTTTTTTTTTTCAGAGGGTATTTATGTTTTTATTTAGCTCTTATCATTTTTATAAATATACATATGCAAGTAAAGATAAAAGACTTTCTGAAGAAATCAAGATGATAGAAGTCGATAATAGACGAAACTTATGTATGCAACATTGTGAGAAATCCTGAAAAATCATACGTGCTTTGTATAAGATCTGACATTAAGATCATACAAGAACCTGATATATAAAATCGTACAAGATCTTATTATAGGGTTGTTTGACCTGGACAGTTCATTGCTAATTCAAAGTTTATGTCAATTGCACCAAGACCAAGTATTCCAATAGAATTCTTGGCGTGTTTTGGATACTAACTCTTTTAATGTTATGGTATCATATCACAATATTCAAATTGAGAGAAATAAATCATAATATGAAACATAAAAAGACTGATGAATAAATTAAAAGTTTTCTTAAATCAACTCAAAATCGATCGTTTGTTTTTTTTTGGATTCGATAAAAAAATCGCTATTTTTTTTAAAAGAAATTATCACTTGTTTTATAACTAAGACGCATTTTTTTTTGTTGCTTGGTCGAGTCAATTCGAAAAGACTAGTCACATAAAATAGAGATTTTAACATCTAATTATAATCAGATTTATTATTTTTTGTTTTTTTTTGGCCTCTATTTATTATTATTGTTGATATTATTGCCATAAAACAATGAGTTAAACGATCATTTTAATACATATACAATGCAAAAAAAAAGAAGTTATTTTGAATAATAATCAATGAATACTGTGCAATTTTATATGGTGTTGAGTTTTTTTTTGAAATAAGAGAGAAAAAATATTTTAATCTCAAATTTATTTGTTTATTTTTGTTTTATCAATAATTAATACTAAAAATAAAAGAAAATATTTTAAAGATAAAGAAAAAAACAAAAAGAATTTCTAACCATATCGAAAAATTTTCTAATTAGTTGTTGAAGTTTAATTTGTTTAATTGATGCTCTGTGAAGAATAAAATCAAGACGTTTTGCACTATATTGATATGGTTTGTTATGAACTTGAATATATTGAGTTTGTGTTTTATAACCTGAACTTATAACTTGAACTGCATATATACCATCAATAAGTAAACGATAATAATCACCTTCTGTATCTATTTATCAGTAGAACAAAGAGAAAAATCTCATTTCTAATCTATAAAAAGAAAAAACTTCTTACTTGATGTAACATCATGATCGATATATTCCCAATTATAATTAACCAATTGATGAACTTTAATAGTTGCCTTAGAAATCACATTACCTTTTTCATTTTGGATAATTCCTTTAATACCTATATGAGTCTTAAATAAAAAAAAAAAAATTCAAAAATATAAAACAAATATATATCTTTTGTTTTATTTTTACCTGTCGCATAAAATGTATTAAAGCTTTTTTATTCTCATTCCAATATGAAGATAATTCTTTGCCAGGCGGAAATTTTTTACAACCAAGTTCAAATGTTAATTCAAAACAATTACTTACTAAATAATTAAAATCTTGCATTCCACCACATACTGCATACCTTAATAAACACACAATAAAGAAAAAACTATCGAAGCTAGGGACGTGCCATTTCAGTTTACTGACCACTAGAACCCATCGGATCCAAAAGTTTTCGACTCGGATCCGATTTATTTAACGTTTTTAGTATCCCAACTCGATTGAAACGTATTTTGATACTTTCAATGAAATTTTCTAATCGGAATAGAACAGCCACCCCGAAGATACGAAATACGTTTTACCAGTTTTTTGTATTCGATAGTTAGTATATCCTACATATTTCTAAGAGAACTCGTCTGAGAAATGTGTAGAGGAGAGCTCATCAGATCTGACACCAACCCGACGGACTCTACTGATCACCGATTCATGAGAGAATGCTTTCAACTTAAATCTCCATTCGAGCTCATATTTAGCTAATTGTTATGGTCCGTAGTGCAGATAAATCCTAAAAAGGATTTGTGTCATTGTCGCTTTATTCTTGAGTTATGATCATTTTACTGGCTTGTGAGTTTATTAGTAGATGTTACGAAGAAACCTGAATCAAGGAATTTTAGCTTGGAATTTTACTCGGAAATAGATCTCATAGTTCTTATAATATCCTGTAAGTTTTGAGCAAAGCTGAATTATATTTTTTTCAAGATATTATGTACTCAAAAACAAAACGGGCTTGTTCAAATCTCTTGCTGGAAACTATGGGTTTTTTCAATTCTGTTATCTTGACACAGAAGTATCCATTTTTGCTGAAACTTTCAGGATATTATAAGAACTACGAAATCTCCTTTCAGGTAAAATTTCAGACTGGAATTCCTTGATTCAATTTTCCTCATAATATCTTTCTAATAGACTGAAAATTCAATAAAATGATCACAACTCAAGAAGAAACTGCTAATGAAACAAATCCTTTTAGGATCTTTATATGCTCTATGGATCCTAACAATCAGCAAAATATGAGTTCAAACAGAGGTTATCAGTTAGAAGAGTTTCCTCATCAATATAGTTAATACATACTGATACTAAAGTTCACTGAAGCATTAGAACACACTACTATAAAAAGAATATATTTTGATAGAGTTAGCATCTCAATGTTGCAGCGAACGTGAGTGTCGGTGCACTCTATGTCAGTAACTCACTGGTCAGTATTCATACCAATACTCTACGTCTCTAATATAAACTAAATTAAAGCTCATTTATTTACCATGCTGCACCATTTGTAATGCCTTCAGGAAAAATATCTTCATCACAAGGTTTTTCTGGTGATCGCATTGTTTTATGAGTAAATGAATATGATTTTGCTAATTGTCTATAATATTTAAAAGAATGTCAAATAAAAATCAGAATTAAACATTTACCGAAATAATTGATCATCAGGTGATAATGAATACATTCGACGATGATTTTCTGAATCATCATATGGATAATTACTAACAAGAGCACCATTATGTAAATTAGCTGATAACACAAATGGATTTTTCAGAATCCAAAAAGCAACTGTTACTGTTTCAATTTGATACTAAATATATAAAATTTTTTTTTTTATTTGTTAAATTCATATTCATTTTACCGTATTATTGTGACAATCATGGTCTGATATTAATTCAAGAAACGTTTCAATATCAAGATGATTATTAATATGATTACTATAATGATTATATTTATGAATAAATTCATCTAAATTAGGAAAATTTCGATTTAAATCAATGTTATTTGCATTTGATCGACCAGCAATCCAATGTGTTGTACCAGATTCCTAAGAGAAAAAAAAAGATTCTCATAAATTTTCTTTTAAAATTTCATTATCTAACTTTTAACATTGTTGAAACATCTTTGAATTGTCCAGGTTTTGTTTCATTCCATGCATATTGAACAGCAGCTTCCCAACCATCTATAAATAATGTTTATTTTTATAAAAAATTTCTTTTTTGTTATAATTTCTTTACCAGGATTCATTGATGGCATAATATGTATACGTGTATGTTCAATTAAATTTATTATTTCTTCATTATCATTTCTATATTCTTGACAAAGATATTCAGCTAATCTTAATAATAATTCTCGACCAACAACTTCATTTCCATGCATATTTCCAATATATTTAAATTCTGGTTCGAGTAATTCATGATATTTTGGATGATCAGAAAAAACAATAACACGTAATGGACGATTTTCAATAGATTTTAATGGTAAATCATATATATGGGTTATATCAGGACATTTCTTATGTATACGATCGAGTACAGTTAACATTTCATCTGTATTGTGATGATTTTCAAATTTAATTAATCCGTTCGAATCTTGACAAAAATTAAGTAAAATAAAAGATATGATGAGGATGAAATTTCGAAAATAATTCGACTTTTGAATCATTGTTGATGATCTATAGAAATAAAAACAAAATATAAATAATTTTTTCTTGTTTTTTTTTCTCGGTTATAAAAGAAAAGATTGATAATAATTTGAAAAGCAAAGAAAATATTATTCTTTTTTTTATGCATGGTAACGCACAGATTTTCTCACTTTTGTCTTGATATTATTCGTTTGTTATTTTCTAATGATGAGGTCTATATTCGATCTACACAAATAAACGACGTCATTGATATTGTACGAGAGAGAGTGAAAGAAACAGAATGAAGGATTTTTTTTTTCAACGACTCTTTTTCGCTTTGTTTATAACACAATCAGCTAATTAGGTTAGATAGGAAAGCAATCTACCTGTTTGTCTTTAGCAGTAAGCAATCATTCGTGCGTTTAGGATCCTATACACAAAAACAAAACAAAATAAACGCGAGCAACATAGTTAGAAGCTATGAGTATGATCAGGTTATATGGTTAACAGCTGCTTGTCAATACTTTTATGAAGACTAACGTGCAAAATAATAATATATTTACAGAAATAAGATGATCTAACGATTAATAATTGACAAGAATGTCAAATATTAATTCTGAACAACGTCATTAAATAAGAACTCTATCAAGTTTCTCATATATTAATGCAAACGATTATTATGAAAAATGAAATGTAATGCTTAGTAACGTAATCATGAGGGACTGAACACCCTTTTCCTTTTATCAAAAACTTGCTTATGCCACTAGTAATATTTCAAATAGAGCTAAATCTTATTTTATTCATTGTTAGTTTAAAGAACAATTTTAATATCATTTTGTTCATACATGTCAATCCAATCGTTCTTCTGATACTTCACTGTATTTTAATGTTCATTATACTCAAACAAGTTTCATTTGTTCATTTTGATTGGAAATCTAAATTTAAATTCTCTGGTTGTATAAATCGAATTAGTTAATATGTATTGTCTATTCATTAGTTAACTCCTCTAAACTAGATCCTTTCGCAATAAAGTTTATTAGATTGAAATAATAGATTCAACCAGCAATCTGTCACTAGAAGAGTTACTGACTTATGACTGCGATACTGTCGAATGAGTTTGGCTCATTATTGATGCGCTTATCTGTTGCATCTTTTATGATTTAATAAGTAAAAGTAAAGTATCAAATACATTTTTTTGCCAGAAGAGAACCTCTATGGAATTTCGATATTTGTTTTAACATAATGAAACCAGTTAAAATTCTTTTTTTTTTTATTCAAAAATCAACGATGAAAACGATACAAAAATATTTTGTGTATTGCCTTTTCATGTCAAACTGTTGTCAATAGACATAGTAAAAATCGAATAACAATAAAATTTTGACATTGATTATATTTAAATGAATATCAATAGTCATGTTCAGAATGCATTCATTTGATATTGATCGAGTTTAATACTTTATAAAATTATTTATAAAAATAGAATATTTTCGAATGAAAATTTATAAAGTTGATTGCAACATTAGTCAGATTTTTATAATTACCAAAACAGTACACAATAAATGATGGACGAGTTCTTGCATAACTAATCCTGTGCTTTTCTTTTAACAAAGAAATTTTTTTACTATGTTTATTTCTGTTTTCTAAACGTTGGAAATGAAATTTCAACAAACGAAAAAGGGATGTTTACTATAAAAACATTTAAATTATAAATCTTTTGATAATAAGAGTCTTTTCTTCTCCCTCACTCATACCCATATCCCCATCTGTACAATTAGCATTTTGTATTCTTTCAGAATATGAATTCAAAATTTTTCTAGAACTTCTTGTTTAATAGTTATGAATCCACTTTTTAGAGGTCCATAAATCAAATTTGGACGTACTTCAGCACGGCACAAATCAGAGAAAATAGAAGCGAAAATCATGTTGAGTACAGAGAATGGACGAGCAAACATTTCTGTATAAAATAATATACTAATGATTACTTTGTTGCAAGCCATTTGTCGACAATGGGTATGTTGGTAAGCGACATCGTGGTGATTTAAGCAATTTTTCTTAATTACAATTGGAAACAGACTTGCAGAGTGAGCCCAGTCATTCCTGAATAATTGTTCTAAAACTCCTGATTCTTATGCCATTTTGTAGAGAACAATATGTCCTTTAATTCTATACTAAAAAATGGTAAAATAACATATTCAATAATGAAACTCATTGCTGCAAAAAAAAGTACATTTTATCGTCCGAACTTAGTGTTCGCGCCTCTAAAAGGTTGACTCATAGCTCCGAAACCAGAAGTCCTGGAGAAATTTTGAACCTATATTCGGAAACAGTATAAAATTTTGATTAAGGATGCAACAGTGACAGTGATCACCGGTCCATCGTTCACTGCTAACAGCAACACATCGTATATATCATGCACTGGCCTTAGTTAGAACTCTAGGCTAGTCTTGACATGTCTGTATAGAATAACGATGAAAGCATAATAAAATTTCCGTAGTCTTAGATTCATTTTGACTTTTTTGGTCAGGGAAAGGTCTATTTCAAGAAAAGAATTGAATTTCATAAAACATGACTAAACCATGAGAATTCATGTGTTCGCCATCTTCATCGCTATTCTATAAGTATATGTTTAGACTAGTGCAAAGTTGTACGTAAAACTAGTGCACTCCTAATTTTGAATCTAATCTATTGTTTTTAAATTTCTGCAGACTTCTTTAAGATACTGAAAAATGAATGAACATATTGTTAAATCATTTTTTAATCATCCCTTTAATATACTTCCACTTTAAATAGAAAAAAAATCTAAAGAAAATTTCAGAATTTCTCTAAATAGATCTTCTGATTTCACATTGACTAACTGAATACGCACGTTCACTTACTTATTTTAACCAAAGAAACATAGATAACTTCAATAAATATTGAAGCCAAGTACGAATATAAATCAGATTCAAATATTCAAAAAAGTGTTTTGCAAATATATGCAATTAAAAAGATGTTTTCATTCCAAAGATTTTTTGTTCATGATTGTATGTGGTATTTAATTCGAAACGTCAGGGCATTCTCATGGTACAAAGCTTCAACAATCATAATTTGACAGACATGATTACAAGGGATTTTAAATTAGTTTCTGTTTTAATGACCTTAATACAACAAACTAATCGTCGAATCTAATCTCGTACTGTTAGAAAAAAATCATCCTACTCAAATTCATATTAGGTTTTTAAAATCTTAATTATATTTAACCTAGGATTAGATAATTCATATTTAATTGTTTACAAATTCCATAATTATGTAATCAATTCAATATTTTATTCAATTAAAACAACGAAATTATATTCATTTTATATTTAAGAGAAAATAAAATAGATAATGAAGAGAATTTAATAAAATGATTATATGTATTTAAAAAAAAAGAGTTAAATAACAAGAAAAGCTTTAACAGAGATTTTTCTTATTGTAATATAAAAAATAATTTATATATGTTCAAGTAAATATCCTGACTTCAACATATACAACATAATATTTATCGAGTATTTTCATACGTCAATTGCCGAATAAACAAAGTCAAATATTATTTTTCATTATATGTACTCGAAGAAATTTCTTTCATTTAATTAAATCTTTACATTTAACTGAAATGATTCAGATGACAACTAGTTGAGTGAACCAATCAATCCATCCGATATGTTCGATAAATTATTCATTGTATAAAATAGAATAATCTAAACTTGTCTAAAACTTCATGTCAAACAAAAATATGTATCGTTCTTTATTTTATCTTCATCATTACAACTTGATATTCTACTGAAAATACATTTATCAATGATGATTATTTTTTTTATGCAATATATATTTCAAATTTATTAAAGCTTAAATAGATCTCAAATCACATATACCTTAATTTATATTAACTCGTTCGCTTTCTGCTCAACAACTTGCAAGAAATGAGTTTGTATCATATTGATAAAAACAAAAACGGAATAAAATAAAGTAAAACACTATTATACACAGAAAGAGAGAGAGAAAGATAGAATGTGCTAATACAGTTTTATGGAACGAATGAATGACATTGAAGATATCACATTAGTTTCATTATGATTTTTATTCACTCAAAATACGCATCATGAATTCGAGCTATTTCACGTAAAACTGATGTTTGAATAAGAAAACCTCGAGAGTTATTCGTCACATCTTTCCATACTGCCACACCCTAAATAAATAAATTTTAAAAATAATCATTTTTTCTTTTCAGATTAAAAACAATAAACATACGTCTGTACGCAAATTAGGAAATGACATCTCTGAACCATAATGAAAATTCCATATTTCTGCTTCTGCCCAAGCATTATCTGTATTGCGTAGATCATCAACATATCCTAAAATAATAATAATAATAATAATAAATTAACTAAAAAAAAATTAAAAAGAGAAATTCTTCGAATAACCTCGATAAATCATATGAGATTCAAATCCGGTTGGTTCACCAGCACCGACCGCTGCACGAGCAAATGATTCAAAATGCTAAAAATAAATTAATTTTAATTAAATATCAAAGAAATCAAATTAGAAAATTTTACTTCAATCATATCCTTTTCTTGTAATGATAAACTAATTTCAGAATCAAGATCATTAAAAGCAAGTTTATTGAAACTACGACATACAGCACCATATTGAGATTCAACACCTAAAATTTTTCCCTAAAAATCAAAAGAAAAATAATTTATTCGAAAATGAAAAACTAGAAAAATAAAATATACTCCAGGTAATTTCCAATCATTCGTCAATTTATTTTTAAATACTAAAGCTTCTAAAATTCTTTGTCCATCAACAATAGCAAATTGACCACGATGTGTTTTCCATCGTGTTATTACGGCTATAATAGATTTATTTGGTCCCCATCGAATTAATGCACCACGACCACGTACACCTGTACGACCCATTGGATTCCTATATTAATAGAATATATTCATATTTAAATATATAGAATTTCATATATATATATATATATATTCATATACATAGGTATTTGTAATTGAGTATCTACTCGATAGACTGAAGGTGTGTCATCATCTTCAGAAATTGATATCCAAGTTGTTCGATCAAGAACGATCTGAAAATATAAATTCGATGATTTGATTTAAAAAAATAAATAGAAGCAAAAACCTTTTTTCCATCTGGTAGTTCTAATTCAACAACTTGATTCCATTTAAAATCTTTAAATGGAATATTAATATCAATTGGTACTGTTGTCACTGGTGCTTCAATAGCTCCAAATAAATCCGGTTGAATAAGAGGAGCTGGTAACACAGGAGATGGCTCAGCAGCCATCTGTAATTCATCATCTTCAACATTTTCATCAGAACTTGATTCTAATCTAAAATAATTTTCATATTTATTTATTTTGATTAAGTAAAACAAAACTTACAAATCTGGTTCAATAAATGGTCGTTCACCATCTTTAAAACATTCATGTTCTTTTGGTAATGAAATTATTGTTGGATCATATAAATCAAATTGTACCTAAAAATTTTATTTTTCTATTAGATTTATCTCAAATCAAAAGAAAAATTCAAAAGTAAGAAATAATAAAAAAAAGTAACCTTCCAAGGAATATGTCTTTCTGTAACTGGAAATCGTGCTTGATTTGTATAAATATATGGTGATTCTCTTGATAAAATATGAACAAATTTTTCACATTCAGGTAATGATTTATCTCCTTGTTGAATTGCCGAACGAATTTTTTCGAGTAATATATGTGAATCAACCATTAATTTTTCTAATGTAACAACACGATCATTGATTAATCGTAATGATTTTCGTTGTCCATCGATATCTTTTTGTATATTTGTTACACTAAAATTAATTGTATTAAATTTGAATAAAATAAAGATAAAAAAATCATCAAATTTCACTTTACCCATTTGATAAATTATCAAGTTTTTCTTGTACTTTATCAGCTTCTTGTGTTTTAGCATAAAATTCTTTAGCTTTATATTTCCAATATAAATTAGCTTCACTATCTTCCCAACTATGAGCATTTATACTCTAGAATAAATCAAATTCACTTATCAAATATAAAAGAATATTTATTTTACATACATCTTTAATTTGTTTATTTTCTGCAACTTTTTGACATGGTACACAGCTAAGTAAACGGCTTAATGCTGACCGATCTTGAACAACTTCAACTGATCGATCTTTGTAATCATCCGTCAAATCATCGTGACGAGCCACTGCTGAAATAAATCGAGTAATAAAATTTTGTTTATGAGTATGATATTTATTATTAGAATAAAAATATCCATACCACTTGTTGATGACTGTGTACGACTTCGAATTGCACGAGCATCTTTTTTATCAGAATATTTTTTTAATTTTAGAATACATTGACGACCGCAACCTTGTATTAACATAACTATTATAAAAAGAAAAAAAAATAGTTTTATGTGATTAGAAATTTTGAGAAAAAGAATTTTTAACATGTCTATTTTCTAGAGACCTCGAGTTTTCAGAAAAATCGTATTGTTTTATTTCCGATTTGAAACTTTGTGCATATAGAGAACTCAACTAGACTAGCTGATATAAAAGAATTTAGAAGTTTTGAAATGAGTCTCTTCGAGATATAAAGCTTTCAAAAAATGAAGAGACTATACACTATCCATGGAAAAAAAAAATCTATATATTGGACGTTTCATATCTCGAGAAGACTTAGTTTAAAATTTCTAAATATTTTTATGGAACCTAATCTAGTTGAGTTCTCTACATGCGCAAAGTTTCAAATCAAAATTCGAAAATACGATTTTTCTGAAAATTTGAGCCCTCTAGAAAATAGACATATTAAAAATTTGATAGCTGCTTACTCAAATTTCAATAGAAACTTAAATCCTTTTAGCATTTTTGTTAGAATACTATGAAGTTTCTATAGACAAAAAGATCATTGAAATCAGAAGAGGATATCTAAGAATGTTCTTTCGTGAGCCTTCGATAGAACAAAATAAGAAACATGACAAATTTTCAAACTAATAATACCACAATATATATATATCATCATTCATATATTTTTGGCTAAAGAACTTACAATGGAACATTCCCAGGTGTTCGAGAGCTTTTCAATCGAGACTTAATACATCTTGTAGACCTTCGTAAATTATGTCTACCGTGAAAAGAGTTCGTACCCATGCCTTGTTACTGTGAAGATCGAACATTTTTAGTGAATTTTCGTTATAGGATCTAATATTTGCAAGAAGACCATATTGACCTGAAACTTTGGCCACATACAGATGTCCTTGAGACTAAGGTGTACAGAAAATTTTGGAACTTTTGAGTTACCTCTCTCTAAGATATGGAACTCGCAAAAATACATGTTGTATGTATTATCTATCGAAAACTGCCTACATCTGAAAAGCTTCATATCTCAGAGAAACGAAGCTCAAAAATTCTGAAATTTTTTATACAAACTAGTCTCAATGACATCTTTAAGTGACCAAAGTTTCAGGTCAATATGGTCTTCCTGCAAATATTAGATCCTATAATGAAAATTTACTAAAAATGTTCGATATTCACAGTAACAAGCCATGGGTACGAACTCTTTTCACGGTAGACATAATTGACCAAGGTCTACAAGATGTACTAAGTCCCGATTGAAAAGCTCTCGGATACCTGGAAATGTTCTCTTATTAATGTAAAACTAAAAATTTTATTATTATGTCCTCCAATGAAAATTTTGTTTCCTTTTCCTTCATAACTTATTTAAAATTGTATTACCAATATAAGAAATAACAACAAAAGGTGGTGGTAAACGTGGTCGTTTAGCATATTCCATGACAATTTCATATCGATTATACATCCATATTTGTTGAGATTGACTTTGTACTCTTGCTCCGGTTAAACTGATTTAATAAAAACAAAAAACGAAAGATAATTTTTAATTATCTGAATTAAATCAATTTCATCTAAATTAATATACCCAAACATAGCTGTTAAAAGTGACGTAAGAAAACGTTTAGCTAAAAAGAAATATTGTATAAGTAAAAACCAAGCTATCCATGATGTTTGATTGCATTTTGGTGATGGTATTCCATATCGCTTATATGCATAAGCATTATCATCTTGAACACAAAAAAAAAAAACCTTTTCATTATTTAAAAAACAACACAAATTATTCTTACAATTAAATGAAAGACCATGAGATAATCGTAGACAAGCATAGTCTCTGTCTGTTTGACTTGTCGCATTTATTGAACATGGATACTCTTGCTTTTTAAAATCAGCCATTTCACTACTGAATAATGCCATTAAACCACGAAATACAAAAGCTCTTGTAAATAAATCTACATTAAGTGGATGATGTGGATAAAGTACAGCAGTTATTGCAACACCAGATGATATCATAAATATCACAAATAATTGTAAGAATGTAACAAAATCATCCATTATCTGTAATTATTAAATTTTTTTCAGAAAAAAAAAAGACAAAAGAGTTAATAAATAAATTACCATACATCGAAGTCGAATCATCATCGGACCAAGTTTTGGACTTATTGGTAAAAAAATAAATAATATTCGGTAAAAATAATAAATTAATCCGAAACCTAAGATTGCTTTTGCTGGTAAAATTTGACAAGCTATTTAAAAAAGAACAAGAAAAAACCAATCATTTCAATTATTCTTTTTTCTGCTCTTTTACTTACTTCCAAAATTCCATAAACCAATAATTCTAACACTAAGATAAAGTGCTAGAAATATAGTTTGTACAATAACTTCTAATATGGCTCGTTGCAAAGGTAAACTACTTTGAGACTAAAATTTCGAATGATTAAATCCTTTTAGTTTAGATTTGTTTTTTTCCTTAAATAATCTTACGCAATATTTTTCATAAACAACACGTGTATTTTCAAAAGCAATCGATGCTGCCCAAAACCAAACAAAACAATCAAGGAATAAATTTCCACATGATGGCCACATAACAGCCAATGTAAAAAGAGATAAAAATATAAGGTAAGTAACAAAATTTGTATAAAATTTTGTTATTGGTGCTGACCATAAAACTTCAATTTCTTCAAAATGACTCATTTTTTTTTCATCAGACTTTGCTGCTGCTGATGTAGATTTTTGTGTTTTTGGAGCATCACCACCAAGACGACGTCTCATTTTTTGGTAAAAACCAGCCTAAATATGTACATATGTCGTATCGAAATTATATTGATTGACAAAATTATAATTTCATCATATCACTATGTCGAACTTAGTTTAGATCAACTAAATACATAATAATTATCTATTATCTCATGATATTATTATTAAAATACATCTATTTATAGTTAGTTTTTGTGAAATGCAAGCTGAATGAAATGTTAGAGTAGAAAATGTGAACCTATTGTCTCCATAGACGTGACAGACGCTTTGTCCATCATATATTATGAGAGATTCAGCCACAGAACTAGTCTTTTGTGGAATCATTATGAAAGAAGATTGAATTTACGATACCTATTTTTAACTCACTGTCATATATTTCGAATAAAATCTTTCATCATCAACATAACAGTAAGTTGGAAATTCCAAACTAAAGTATATGCTCAAGAGTTCCTTGATTTACTATATATGTAGATTAATTCTACAGGAGTTGTGCTAACAGTTCTTCATTCTAAAATCGTATCTATCAATTTTTATGAATATAAAAAGAAAGTATTTCGGAACATCAGAAAAGTTGCATTTTGTTATTAGTTTATATGGTCGTATTCTACGGATAATAAAATAGATTTGTAGAAAATTATGCTCGCATAGTTAGAAGTTTACAAAACTCGTTCTATTTCGAGAATTTTGGTATTCATTTATGACATAAAATGACAAGATCAATAACGAAGGTGATGTGGGCATTTAGTTGTGGGTAAAAGCGAAGAGTAAAATAAGGTGAAAGAGCTGGATGAGAATGCCAAATGACACTTCCGCACTTATGACTTTGTACTATTCTAATCAAAATACGTTATATACTACTAAAGATGAATTCAATAATTTGAATAAATCTCAAAAAAAATCCCGATAGTACCTCGCCTATTATATATCGAGTTTACAAGTCACTCTTACTTCATTATCTAAGATTATTCTTATAACGTCTGTTTGATTTGTTAGTTTTTCACTTAAGTTTTACTGATGTAATCTACATCAAACTACTACACAACTAACACTGGAACGCACTAAATTTTAAGAACTCCAATCAATTAAAGTCTTTGTTTGACATAATATGAATCAAATTTTCATAAACATTTGTTCATATATGAATTTGTTCTCTCTTCCCTAGAAATATGAAATTTAAGTGTTTCCTCAAAAACGTTTTTCTCTAAGTATACTTCACTACAGAAATGTTATTAGTCGTCGATGAAGGTGATGAAAATTTTAACATTTGTATAAGAATTTCGATACACTATATAAATCTATTAATCTGATGGAATGAGAAACAAATTTTTGAGCCTACAATGCCTGAACCTAGAGTAAACTTCAGCCTATCCATGCTTCGTGGCTCAGCCGCCTATGACTCTGATTATAATCTCCCGAAATAATTGAAAATTATTGGATATTTAGTAATTGATCTAATATAACTTTGACACACTGATATGACGAAGTAATAAGTTTGTTCATCGATATAATATGGGTATGATATATAGAATATAATGATAAATGTATTAATAAAATACGTACTCCCTGTCGAATGTTGACATCACTAACATATTCAGCTAATTGTTTTCCTTCTAAATTCAATTTAATTTTTGATATAAAAATAAAAAAAGTTCTATAAAAATAACTAACCATGAAGTTGCGCTTCTGCACTTAAACCTTGTGTTGCTGCTTCTAAAGGTGTTTTTCCTGGTTCTGTACCTTTTTTTTCATCAGGCGGTAAATCACTTAATTTTTTCGGTGCTGGAGGTGCTTGACCAATTGGAGAAAAATTTATCCAAAACCACATTGGAAATATTAAGGTAGCACAGGATACAATCTATTCAATAAAGAATAATATTTATATTATATTGATCTAATATTTTACTCACTTTAATAGAATCGGGACATTTATATAATCCAAATGGAAGTTCACGTGGTGTAATTTCTCCATAAAATTGTCTTGTAACCCATTTTTGACAAGCAGCATGTGCCATAAATTCTTTATTGTCTGCATTATAAGCTAATTCAACAGTTGCCATGTTACTCCAATCCTTAATTAAAATATATTTTATCTCTTATCAAATAATTTTCTTTTTTTCGCAAATTTTTACCGGATGTTTTTCATCAAGCATTTCAAATGTTCTTAAACTATCTTCATTGAACGCTTTATCAAGAACACCCACAGCACAATCAGAAAATTCTCTAAAATATTAAGAAAAGAGAAAATTTCATTTCAGACGAATAATAAACGAAAAATTTACTTTGCTTGTTTTTCTATTAATAATCTTTGATAAGATTCATGACAATATGGTGCTAATTTTTTAAACATCATACAGCAAATTAATGCTAATGCAATTGGTTCAGCTGAACGTTTCCAAAGAATTTTTGCTAATTGATGTCGATTCATTAATATAGCATAAATAATTAAATGTCGAAGAGCCTATTTCAAATAAAAAAAAAACCAAATTCTTTAAAAACATTAAACAAAAAAAAAATTATACTTTTTTTTCTGCTCGTATTCTTTGTCGTTGAACACCCTTATCTGATTTATCACCAAAATAAATCCCCATAGCATTACAATCCATTTCATGTTTACTAAAAAAATGACTAATACCGGTTAAACGTTTAACAATTATATTAAGACCATGCTCGACAAAATCTTTTGGCACTTCTTCATCATCCTATTTAACAAAAAAATAAATATCAAAAAAAGAACTCTTTTTCGTACTTACTCCTGTTAAACCAAGAATTCCTTCAAGCGATGTTGTTGTTAAAAAATCTTTATCTTTTGCTTGATTAAATAACTCAATTAATTTGTCTGATTTTAAATATCGATGTAAAACAAAATCTCGATCAAGAAATAAATCAACAAATGGTTCAAGTTTTTTTCCAAGTACAGCTTTATCAAATAATTCCGTTTGAATAGAATATCTCATATCATCATTACGTTGAAAAATTTCTGATAAAGCTAAATCTGGTAAATTCCAATCAAGTGTTAATAAAAGATTTCGTTTTAATTGACTATTAACTTTACTACTAGCTACCGTTTGTTGTGCTAAATTAAAAATAAAAATAAAAATAAAAATAAAAATAAAAAATATGTTCATACATTGTAAAAGTGCTGAAAGAACAAATTTATGATACTCGTTTAACGATGCTGTTGCACTATTAACATCAACAAATATTAAAAATTTTCTTTTTCCTTGATCTGCTTTTTTAACAATTGATAAAATATAATTACGAATTTCATTTCGTTTAACATTATTATCTTTTAATCCAGGATATTCATCAAGTAAACGTCGAGCTAATTCAACTTTTAAATAACCATCTTCATATTCTTTTTCATTTCTAAACAAGATTTATAAAATAAATTTTATTTATTTATTTTTCTTACTTAGCATTAATTTCTTCATAAGCAAATGAAATAAGATCAGCAGCTGATCCAGTTCCTTTAAGAATGACAGTAGGAATTTCTTGTTCAATTTTTCGATGTACAAGTTCAATAGTTCCTGGTGTACCACGAACTAATGTACAAACCATTGGATAACCATCTTCACTCCATGGATTAAGTTTACTTGATGCTACTGGTAGAGAATTTAAATGAAATTAATGAAATTTTTTTTTTCTATATAAATTTTATTTATACCAGTTGTTGCTGGTGGTGGTCCAACGAGAGATGTGGATTGTTGTTGTTGTAGTTGTGCTGCTTCTTGATGTATAAAAGCTTCAAAACGATCACGAAATTTATTTGTAACACTGTTAGCTGAATCAGATAATTTTTCCAACAGTTTTCTACTATCAGTCTCAGTTTTTACAGGTTTTTTTTCTGAATTATCTATTGGATTAGGGTCAATCGGTTGTTCACGAATTATAATAAAATGTGTATGATCACTGTTTAATGATAATTGTTCACGTTTACGTATCGGTACTTTTACATCCTATGGAAAGTAAAATAAAACTAAAATAGAACTATCAAATGAAATTTTCTTAAACCTTTTTTGGTTTCTCAGTTGCTGGTGTGAAATCGATAAAACCTTTGATTTCATCATCACAAACAATTCCAATTATAGTTAATACTTTACGTTTCTTCGGATCGCGACCCATTTGTATCGCCCATGCATCATCAGCTTTTCTTAGTGACTATATTTGAACAATAAAAAAAAAACAAAACAAAACAAAAAAGTAAATTTTGAAAAACTTTGCAAAGAAATTTCTTACAATTTCTTCTCGAAAAGCAGATCCAATTAGTTGCGGCATACCGGCATCAAAACCATTCGTTGTAAACCATATTTCAGAGGCATTTACAGCCTAAATTAATCAATATTTTAAGTTTTATTTTGTTCGAAATATATTCAACTGTTTTCGAAAAAAGAAAAAAGAAACTTGCACAAAAGCTTCATTTTTTCGATGGTCGTTTATTGTTAAGTAGACAAAAAAAATGACCTAATGGAAACTTGATTGGTTTTGTTTTCCATATTTAAAAATTAAGTTATATTCTTAACTCTGAAATAATTGTTATTTAGTTATATTACATTATTGAAACAATGCTTTGAAATCATGTAACATTAAGATGTGTGAAACAAAGATTCTCATAGAAATTGTCTACTCATAATATCAACAAATTAAAATCGATAAATTTAGTTCAATACTGAAGGAGAGTCACTTGATAATGCGACTTCATTATCAAAGAAAGACAAAAAGTTGACAATCAATATATTTTTTGTAATAACTAGATATTATTTAAAGAAATAAATGAAAACATATAGATAGTAAAAAGAGATGTAACATTCTTAAACTATCTATTCCTTTTTTTTTTAATGAAATTCCGCGAAAACTACGATTTATAACATGACTACAACCTCAAATATACCAGTAATATTGATAAACAATTTATCAATGATAATACACCTCTATTAAATGCATTCTATATCGGAATTTTATAGATGCAATATGGGAGAAATCTTTCGAAGAAATGGAACACGGTAGTTTTCCGGTAGACCACGTGAAAATTAGTTTCTAAGAGTACTATTTTGAAGAGAACAAAATCCTGAATAAAATGAAGGACTGCTGCATTTTCCACGACCTTCCCATCAAAAATTATAAGCATTACAAAAAATGAAATTAGCTAAAACAACACATGTGTCATTTTTGTGATGTTTATAACTTTTTAAGAGAAGGTCATAGGAAATATGGCAGTCCTTCATTTTAATCAGAATTTTATGTTCTTTAAGATAGTACTCTTAAAAATTAATTTTCACACGTTCTACCTAAAACAAAAATACCGTATTTAGTTTTTCAGAAACCTTTCTCTCGTATTGCATCTATGAAATATCGGTATGGACTGCATTTAATAGAGAACTTCATTGGTTATTCAAAGTGCTATTTGAATTTGAGTTAAATACATGACATCATAGAAAAAAAAAGTCAAAAATACGTTGTTCTAAAATTTTTGACAAATATTGTGGTGTTGTAAAACATTTGCACGTTGTCTACGAAAGACTGCTGTTTTTTTTTTGCTAATCCTTCGAAAAGTAATTTTAAATTTACTCTTAATGGTTTATTATTTGAGAGATAAAACAATTCAAATCGGCATGTATAGAAAGAAATACTCGTAAAGTGAAGTGTGTAATCTTTTTTTTGCAAGTAATTTAATATATGTATATGAGTGATACACCTACATTTCTAATGCCATTTTTTAATGTTTCAATCATTTTAAGATTTTTAAATGGTTTATAACGTGTAATAGCACTAAGAATAGGTATAACCATATTTGGTGGTTTTAATTTCCATTCTTTGATCATGAATTGACGTAGAACATATAAATCAATATTATCATTAACATAAAGAAATGGTCGAGTCTAGAAAAATCAAATCAAATGTATTAATGTATTAAATAACTATAAAATATTTTTAAAAAGTTCAAAAAGAAAATGTTCAATGTATATATATATATATATATATGTATATTTTATCTATAAATGAAATTTACCTCGATAGAATAATCGCCAAGAGAATCTTCAAATTTAAATGTTCCCCAAACAGCTCCATATTCTTGTTCAAGAAGATTACTCAACTCATCTTTAGTTAATGTTGATAGTCGACGAGTAAGTGTGGGAGGTGGTGGTGACTCTTTCTGAACATCATCATTTGTATTATTCAAAGTATCTCGCGTCGTTGACGCAAGCATCTAGAAGAAAAACTATATCGATGCAGATAATATCAAATGCAATATAAGTGACTATGATAGTTATATCCAATAGTTGGTTACTTTAGTGAATATATTTTCGAGATTGTCAAGCTATGATTTAAATGAATAACCAATGAAATGAATAACTACTATCTTTTTTTTCGTTCTTTTTTTTTTGTTATAGCAGATTTGCGTCAATGATTTTTGGTATCCATATGTATGTATATATGTTTTACGCTGACAAACCATTCTCGTTTGTCTTCATGTCTTGTTCTTTCTGTTTTTTTTTCTTTGCTTCAATCATCGCATACCTTTCTATCTGCATATTTAATGAAATAATGTTTGTGCGATATAAAGAAGAAAAAAAAGAGTGACATAGAAAAAAAGAGCATAAAAGTGATGCATAACAACGCTGACAGGCAATTGGGTTTTTTTTTAAATTGGCGCAAATAGTAGATGAGACAAGTCTATACTCCGTATTTTTTTCTCTTATTTCATCGTTTTGCTTATAACGAATGTTTTTATTGAATTATTTTTTTGCCTTCCATTTCTTTGTGTATTGGTACATTGCTGATACCGGTTACCTTGTATTTGTTTTCTATTATTAATTATCATAGAAGTACAACAAGAAAGTAAAACATTGAATTTACTATTAAAAATCATATAAGATAAAGTATGACGGTAAAAGTCATTTAAAAAAATCAATAAAACGACGTTAATTTGCTCGTTTTTATGTTTTTCTTTAATGTAAATAGAATCATTTTCATGACATACGGTAAAAACATTTAAAAACAATCATTTTATCCTCATTATGTAAAAGTGTACTGCATCGTATTGTTTTTTTTTATCAAATGCTCAAATGTGTCATTCTAATCTTGATGAAAAAATTCCACAGACATAGAAGAAAGAAAGAACAATAGATGTTTATATTGTATAATGATAGAAAAAAACAAAGGAAAACATTATATATAAATATTGTTTGTCCTTAATAATATATATTTTGTGATTGTAGAAACACTTCTAAAGCAAATAAACATCTAGAATATCCATTTGAAGTAACATCAATATATATCATCTAATCAGATAATTCATATACATACTTGATTTGCGACCTACACAACTACCCACACACACATGCTCTTTTCAATATCATTAGACAAGTATAATGTAACAAAAACGTTACTTTGCGATTCAACATCATTCATTTGTATATAGTTGTTATTAAATATGCATAACAAAATTGATTTCAATTGCACAAAAAACAAATACAGAGATAGGCAATAGAACGAAAGAAAAAAGACTGTCTATGCAATTTTACTTCTTCTGCTATTTCATTTTCAAATGTCGGTCGAACAATCATTAACAAATAACGACATGTTTACTTTTAGATAAACTGGAAAGATCTAAGGTAGAAGTGTTTATACTAGAAAGCGAAGAAAAAATAGAAGGTCATTATCATACACATGATTTATTGCAATAGCAAATAGTTATACAGCAAAAAAATAAGTTTTGACAAGTTTCATTGACAAATTTGATTTTTCATGATATCAATTTGATTGCGTTCAATATAATCTAATAAACTATCTATATATTTTTGACTATTTTTATTTGTTCGATTTCCTGGCCATGTTTCAAGTGTAAAATCAGGACCATAATATGAAAAATAATCATGTTCAGGTATATCATTATCAAGTGTTTCATTTAAACAAATACCAATAATCGATGTCCATAATCGAGCTGTATCTGCTATGTTATAACCACCACCACCTAATAAAAGTGTTGGTTTATTTAAATTAATTATTTGTTCAATACATTTAATAATACATTTTGTTGTTAAATTAAATGATTTCATTGGATCACCAAATAATGTATCAGCACCACATTGCACAACAAAAACTTCTGGTTGAAATGAAGAATTTATTTTTGGTAATAGACGCATGAATAATGAAAGATATTGATCATCATCAATACCATGATGAAGTGGTACATTTATATTAAAACCACGTCCCCATGTTTCACCTATTTCATCTAATCCTCCTGAATTTATTGGAAAAAATCCCGTTTCGTATTTATGTAACGAAACAATCAATACTTTTGACGAGCAATAAAATGCTTCTTGAAGACCTAGAAAAAAAAAAGAGTGTAAAATGGAAGATAATCAAAAAAAAACCGCAGTTGTCAATAAATATTTAGATCAATAATATGACATCAATTGCAGATTTAATCATATAATTGAAAAAAAAGACAACAGAAGACATGAATATACGCAATTATTATACTTATAGGCAAACAGCAATATTATTTTGAATGCATCCTTCAAAATTATCTATGGATTAATTTAAAAATAATATATTCCTGATATAATTCTAGATGTCAATAGGATTTGTTTTATACATGTGACTCAAATATCTTTACATGATGTCTAAAATATACTATTGACAAACTTTATCGTTACTCCCACGTGCAATAAATTTTCACTATTTATATATGCTTACCATCTCCATGATGTAAATCTAAATCAATATAACATATTCGATCAAATGTTTTACGAAGTTCATTAATAGCCATAACAATATCATTTATATAACAAAATCCAGATGCTTCAGATCGTTCTAAATTTTATTTATGTGTAAAAATCTATTATTGTTAATATTCTAAAAATCTACTTGCATGATGCCAACCACCAAAAAAATTTATAGCAATATTATTATTTGAACGAGTTAGATATCTAGCAGCTGTTATCGATGCACCTCCAATCCATTTACCTGAATTAATAATAAATTTGAAATTTTTCTTTTTTTTAAAACAAAAAAAACCGTTCACTAACAAAATGAAGGTAATTGTTCAAATGATGGACATTCATATCCTATCTTATAAAAATCCATTTGTTCTTTATATAATTGCTCATGATTAGGATCTATATTTGAAATGAAATTTAAAAAATCTAAATAATCTCGATCATGTGCTGATGCAAGTTCATTATCAGTTGCTAATTGTGGTTGTATTGAATGAAAATGATTATGTTTATCAAGTTCATATGCTTGAATAAGTGCATCAACAAGATATGAACGATGACGAATTTTTTCAATATTATCAAGAGATTTATGAAGTTCCAATGATGTTATATAAATAACATCACGCATACTTCTACTTTTTTTTTGTTTTAAATGATTATCTTAAAAAAAAAACAGCAATAACCAACAATAAAATAAAACAAATAACAATGATTAACAAAAAAAATGAATTTTTTTTTGAATTATATTTTCTTATTAAAATTTCATTTATATGCTCATTAAGTTTTTTAGCAAATGGTTTAAATGAAAATTTTTCATTAACATGTCGTTTTCCTTCTTGACCCATTTGTTTTGATAAATTTTTATTATCAATAAATTCTTTCATACATTTAGCAAATGTTTCAATTAATGGTTCATCACATAAGAAACCTGTTTTATTATTAATTATTGTTTCTAATGGACCACCTGTTGCTGTTGCTATAACTGGTCGTTCAGCTTGCATAGCTTCAAGTGGAACGATACCAAAATGTTCAAAACGTGGTGTATATAATACACAATGAGCTTTTGATAAATATTCACGTTTTTGTTCATCAGAAAACGATCGAACAAATGTTATTAATGATGAATCAAGATTTAATTCATTTGCTAATTGTACAAGTTCATTATAATATTCAACATTTTCACGTAAACGTTCATCATAACCACCAATTATATACAAATGTATTAGGTTTGAATTTGAATTCAATAATGTACGAAGATATGCAAATGAATGTAATGCAAGTTTTAAATCTTTTTTTCTTTCAAAACGATTTATTGAAAGAAAATTTATTGAATTTTCATTTTCATTAGAATATGATGATACAATTTGATCAGGTATTGTTGGATAAAGAATATCTACTGGAATTTTTGATGAAATATATTTTTCAAAAATTGATTGTGTATATGCACTATTCACTAGAATACGATCAGCAAGACATGTTGTATAAACCTAAATGAATGAATCAATAAATATTAGATAATTAGTGAAAATATTTCAATTAAATTGATAGAATATAATTTTATTTCTATTTTAGTCAACTTATATGAGATCTCATTAGAATCTAAAGAAATAAATATATTTAAAGATACACATGTTATACTATTTATCAGTGTTTTATAAAGCGTGAAAATTGAGAAGGCAATGTCTTTCCAAAGATTGAATTGACTCCCATGGAATTTATTGTTATTGTACGACATACTGCGTGTCTGTACTATTGAAAATACGTGTTCGCCCTCCCGGAGTTTTCTATTGTTTATTCGAAAGAGAAAAATCTTGATAAAATACTGATGTTTATTTGATCACGATTCATTGCTTTTAGCATAAATGTATTTAAATAAGGCAAAAAAATAAGCCCAATTATTATTATTCACTCTTTATATAGTTATCGACTTACCGAATCATCATAATGATGTCCGTATAATGCATTTCTATTTAGAGACAAATATAACATAGATGATTAACGCGCACTTTAAGCACTTCATCTATATTTTATAATACATCATGACATTCTATTTATAACTAAACAATCAGCACTTCACCTGAGTTTTTTTAATAAGAGGCATGTTATAAATGATTAAGTAATCATACTAAACATGTTGTAATTTATACGAAAAACAAAAAAACTAAATAATAGGCCTGACATATGCAACACTTGACAGAATGTATACATCTATTGAAATAATTTTCATAAATAAATACTGTTATCGTTTAGTTATATCTCATCAACTATTCAGAATTTTTATTAGAAGAATAATTTTACTAAACAAAAAAAAAAAGAAACCAAACTCACTTCAAAAACATCAATTGGCCATCGATATAATTTCTTTGCTAATGATTCTCTTTTTGTTAATAATTGATCTGGATAATGACAATAAAATAGAATTGGTTTTTCAGTTCTTTTTAAAACTGGTATACAAGCACTTATTTGATCACATAAAAAAATATCATATTGTTTTTCTTTTGATGCTATATAAACAACATATATAGCAAGAAGAATAAATCGAATATAGGCACATAAAGCATGAAATCTTCCAAATATATTTCTTGGAAACCATGAACATGCAACAAATACATTTAATTGTCCATTACGTGTTTCATCAAAACATCGTCGTTTATCATGAAAATTTGTATAAATATCAACATCATGTCCATAGAATTTCAATGCTAATGCTATATCAATAATTAAACGTTCAGCACCACCAATACCTAAATCTGGATGAAGTATTGCAATACGTGGCATATCTAAAATTTGATTATTAGTAAATTCCTTTTTTTTTTTTTGGTTTTGCATTAATAAATAAAATGATTATTAAATTTTATTATTTTCTGAGAAATAAGAATTACTTGAGAAAGGAAAAAGAAAAGAATGAAAAAGACATACATTATAATAATACTGAAGATATGAAAAACACAAAAAAAAAAAAAAGAAAAAGAAAAAGAAGATTCATGACCAATGAAATACGGGAAAGGTCGTTGCATGTAAGAAAACTGTACAAATAAATAGAATCACGTTGTGGTTAAACAGACAACAAAAATTGGTAAAAAAAAATACAACAAATAGATATACAATAAGAAGGAAACTGATTAAAAAATTTATCTCAAGTATATTCATTAGGGAAAATGACAAAAAATAGATCTGCCTAAATAAATGCATTGTAGTAAAGTCAAATTCGATTAACAAAAGATACCATCGCCATCTGTTAACTAAAAGAAAATTAATTATTATTGTTGTTAAAAAATAATAAAATAATATCGAATAAAGTACCCACACGGTGAGTATAAAATAATGTTTCAAGAAGCGTTAACATCAACATCGACCTTTGAAAACACAAAAACAATAGAAAAAAAAATAACATAAAGCATCAATTTTTACAATAGCATAATGTTATAAAACACACAAAAATAAGTTATATATTTCAAAGCTTACCGGTGAAAATGATACTAATTTTTCTTTTTCTTCATATTCTTCTTTAGAAGCCATATGATCTTGAATTATTTTCATCCGAATTTCCGTCTAAATGTCAACAAAAAAAATTACAATTCTTTCTTCTTATTTTTATTTTGATGCATGACATCAATTTGAGATATGATAAATATTCAATAATCATGTATCATGCTCAATCTAGGAAAATGTTGTATGATTTCAATATAATAACTGTCATCATTTTTTCATTTTTCTAATCATGAATGTAACATTTAATGCGAAAGTAATCGGATAAATGTCAGTCTCTATTTCTCTTCAATAGAAGCTTACTGAAAGAAAACTTTTTTTATTAAAAGATCGAGAATTTTTCCTTCTTCTGAATTATATATAATTTAATTTTACCATACATTTGTCAAGAAAAATCATACGAGAAGAAGAAATACTCGCATAACGAATTTGCAATTTTTATATTGATGCATTGAATAGGCATTCCAAGAATAACAATTTATTATATATTGAACAAATATTTGAAAAATGGATGAACGAACATTTTATCAAGGATTTATTGTCTAATAAAACTTTTTAATCAAAAATAAAAACAATTGATGAAATCTATTAATAATCATTGTAGTATCAATCAGCGTAAATTAGTTACGTAACGGTCTATGATTTACATGTTATTAGCTGAATATGATATTTCAGTTAATTGACATGACTTATTGAATAAATCAATATAAAAATTGCAAATTTGTTATACGAGTACTTATCTTTCTTTTTTATGTCATTTTCTTTATGAATGTATAACAAAAATTAAATTATAAACGGTTCGAAAGCGAGAAAAATTCTCTGTCTTCTAATAAAAAGATTTCTTTTAGCAGTCTTCTATCGAAGAGAAACAAGAATCGACATTTATCCAATTAGTTTTGCGTCATATATTATTTCTTACGAGTTCTTTAAGTTGATTATGTAATTGTTGTTTTTCTGTATTTAATCTTTCAATCATATTTGCCCGATTTGATGCACCATTACTTGTACGATCCATTTCTAAATCAGCTATTCGAGAATCTTTTTCACTTAATTCACCTAAGATTTTTTCTTGTCTAAAGAAAAATAACAATGTTTCATTAGTTAATATAGCTAAAAAAAAGCGAACATACTGTGAAATAAAAGCATTATCAAGATGTTTTATTTGTTCTTCAAGTCTTTGTTCATATTGACGTTTACGTTCATTTAATTCAAATTGTAATTGTGAAAGTATTTGAGATTGTTCATTATTTTCATTACGTAAATGTTCAATTTCATGTTGTAGAGTTTTTATCTAAATAAGAAAATACAACATGAATGTAATCCTTATTTTTTTTGTTTGTTTTTATTTATATTGAATATAGAAAAAAAGTGTAAAAAAACAAACCTGTTTTTCTAAATTTTCAACTTTTCGTTTTTGTTGTGTCATTGCATATTCACGTTCAGTTGTTATTTGCAAACTTTCTCTTACAACTTGTTCAAGTTCTTCAATACGTTGTTGTTTTTTATTTAATATTAGTTCATATTGTTGTTCTTGTTCGGTTTGATCATTAGTTGTTGATAATGGTAAATTTTTTTGTTGTTCAAGTTCTTGTTGCATCCATTCAATTTCTCGTTTCATTTCTGTACGTTCAAGTTCATATGATGTTAAACGATCTTGTAATGCACGATTTTCATATTCTAATTTCGTTGTATCACCTGAATCAATTTTAACTTGTTTTAAATTTATTATTTGTTGTTCAAGAGTTTGAATATGTGTTTCACGACGTTGTAAAAGAGATTTAGCATTATTTATTTGTTCATTTAATTCGATTATATGATTCTAAATAAATTGAATAAAATATTTTTTGTTTAGCAGCTTCCAGGACTTATTTGGACTTGAGGATATGACTGTTAGAACTCGTCCAATTGGTCTCAGATCTGGATCTGAAGGGTTCTAGTGAGTGTGAGTATTTTGTATAATAAACTTGCTAGAAAGAATAATATATTCAGAATAGATCCGATAGGATATAGTTATTCAGTATTATATGGTAGAGTTTTTAATAGGAATCTTTTTATGATATATTAATCGAAAGAAAATCCTATGTAACAAAAAAAAAGAGTGAACTGCATAAGGATTGAAACCTTTCATGTATGAACTGAGAAGCCATCGCTTGAACAACTGAGCCATCGAGTGTTATTAATCGATTGTAAAAATTTTAGAACAATGATTATCGATATAAATCGATCCCTTGAGAGATTAATGCACGTGAGAGAGTTAGGAGCAGGAGAATATCAATAAAGATTTATATATCTAGAACAGATCCTCTAGCAGAAAAATGATCTACTGAGCAATTATTTGATATTAAGGAGTTTGCATGACAATCCCTGTGGATACTATGATGTTTTGAGAATAAGTTCATTGAAAAAAAATTAATCCAACGATAAATTAATTTATATTGAGATGTATTTAGATAAATCTTATAAAAGACATCATGCTTTCATAATTTACGATATAGAAAAAAAAAATTTCGAAACGTTAAAAAGATACAATAAATTCGAAAAAAATAGTTCTGGTCTTCTCTCTAATTTGGGTGCTAATTATCATTTAATTTTTCAAAATACTCTTATTTTATACAGAAAATATTTTTCTTCAACATGTGACAGTTGAATATTTCTTCATTTTTTTTCTTTCCCTAAGAAATATTTGCCTGTAGAATCGAAAGCTGAAAGTCTCGTATATATATCTAACAGAAACATATACTGATAAAAAATGCTTCAATTTTTTTGTTTGTAAAATATTGAAGTAATCCAGATAATTATACTAATTAATATGTCTCAAAAATACTTCATAAATTGTAATAGCCAAAACGAAAGTTATGATTTATATTATTTACTAATCAAGCATATGCTAGTTCGAAATGCCTTGCTGCTACAATAGCGTAAATGTCATGTTTAATATCTTTTTTCCTTGGAGATTAATATAGAACATGAATGGAATCAATCATTTTAGCTTCAAATTTGTTCATGTCTACTGTGAATGCAATAATGACTGTTATCCAAATGCTAAGAAAAAAAAATATATCGACTTCTAAGAAGGAAATCATAATTAGATATGACACAGTTTTATTTCCATTAATGAAATTAATATTAAACATTTGATTTCTAAATATTTGATAAAATGCAGATGATCAATTTCTTTCTTTTTTATTCTTTCATACGAATCCAGATTATTCAACTATGTCATATATCTTGGTTAATAGGTTGATGACTGCATTATATCAACTAATGTCATTTGTACAATAGACATTAGTTAAAATGAATCTGTCACACACACATCTTCTTGATTAGATAAAATCAAGTATTGAATAATCGTATCTCACATGAGATGAATTGATCATCAAATGTTTGATTTATTCTTGTAAATCATTAATTATATGATTAAATCTGTCACATATCTTTAAGAATATTCATAGATACGAACGGAAGAATTATAATTCAATTGTAATTGAAACTCTTTGTAATGTCATATTTGAGTACAAGTCTGTTTTTTTTTTCAATTTTTAAAAAAATACTTAAATGATTGCAGATTCTATTTTAAATATTTCTTGGGCAGAAGAAAAAAAATCATTTTAAAATATTTGATGCAGGGGCGTGACGTTCCATCTTCCGCCACTTAACACTCCTTTTTCTTAAAATTCAATTATTCTGTTTCCTGTGCTGAGTTATACTTCTGATTTGATAAAATGAAATAAAATTTACCTGTCCTTCATAATAATCTTTTTCTTTTTGTTCAAGTTTTAATCTTGTATCATTTAGAGTTTTTTGTAATTGTTCGATTTCTTCTTGATGTTCAATATCTAATGTATGTTTTTGTTCTCGTAATTTTTCAATTAAACGTTCTTTTTCTGCAACTGTTGTTTCAAGATTTGATACAAGTGTATTTGTTGTTATTGATGTTTGTTGTTGAACATTCATTGTTGAAGCTGTTGTTGTTACAGCTGTTAATTTTGCACGTGCTAATGCTATTTGTGTTGATTTATCACGTAATTGTTCTTCAAGATTTTCAATTTTTCTATTTAGTACATTTATTTTTCTATCACGAATATCTAATTGTTGTTTAGATTCTTGTAAATCATATTCACATTGTTGACGATCAAGACGTGTTGATTGAATTTTTGAATTTTTCTTTTCAATAATTGAATCTTTTTCTTTAAGTCTTGTACGAAGATCATTTATCTAAATAAAATAAATATTTAAATAAATCTATTTAAAAAAAAAAAGAAACTCAAATGAATACTTCTGATTGTATCATATTAACTTGTTGATCTTTGATTAAAATTGATTCTTTAAGTATACTAATATAATGTTGTAAATCTTTTTCTTTACTTTCATATGTATCAACTTTAGCTTTAAGTGTAACACATTCATTTTCTTTTAAATGTAAATCATTAATACGTTGTTCTAATTTATCTTTAATATCTTGATATTGTTTTTGTAATATTGTATTTGTATCAATGGACGGTTGTTCTGGAATGGAAAATGTTGATGGAATAGATGTTAATTCATAATGTAGATTATGACGAGATTTTTCAAGTTCATCACGCATTTGTTTTAATTGATGTTCAAGAGATTGGATATAAGTATCCTAAAAAAAAAATTTTTTAAACAAAAAATAAAGAATATATAATTTTATTTATTTAAGATAATGAAGTAATTGGATACTTATAATATCCATAAAAAAAAAAAGAAAATCTTAACCAGAGAAAGATAAAAGTAATCGGGATAAATTTTTTTTTTAGATATTAAATTATATCTTCATCTTTCTGAGAAGATGTGAATGTGGGTGTAAGCGCAAGTTGCCTTTTCGCTGTTACAATTACACACATATCTCTCAGAAAGGTGAGAGTATAGTTCATGGGTATAATATCTTTCTTATAGAAGGTCTTGAAATATTAATAAAATGGAGTATCAAAACTTTTTTTTTTAGAATAGCTAATGCTAATATTATTAGCACTTAATTCCTGTATAATCTCACTTGTTTAACACGTTTTTGATGGTCATTAATTAATAATTGATATCGACATGATTCATCTTTTCTTAATGTTCGTTCTTTTTTTAATTCTGGACTCCAAAATGTTTTAATACTTTTCATAGTTGCATTTAATTGTTCTTTTGTTAATTTTAATTCATGTTCTAATTGTTCAACATAAGAAATATTTTGATCATAATCATAATAATTAATTTGATTAGGAATAATATTTTCTGATGGATAAAATGATGAATTTGTTGTTGATGATCGATTCATATATTCATGATTTATGTGACGACATAGAAGATCAGCACTACCATGACGTTGATGATTTTGTCGATTTAATAAACGACGAGATTGATGTTGATCAGATAAATATTTATCATCTTCAGAATAAAAAATATTTTCACCTGTTGATTGAGATACTGCACGTTTTGTTGGAAACGATTCTATCGGTGGAGGAGGTGCTGGTGCTTTTTTTGGTGTTAAAGATATTTTAGGTTTAATTTCATCTTCTGGTTCATTTTTTAAAGATTCATGTGTCACTGAAATCTATCAAAGTAGAAAAGAAAAAAAAACACAGATAATCATTTTTCTATTTTATTCTAAAATTGATTTATTAAAAACCTGTTGTGATTGACTTGATACTGTTGATTTTGATAATGATGATGAACTACTCGATGGAAGCGATTCACATTGAATAAATGTTGTTGCTGTTGTTGATTCATCGTGTTGATTAGTTGTTGATGATATCGGTGAATTAGATGTTGGATTATCTAACGTAAGTAATGGAGTTGAACTAAGATCGCCTAAATCAAAAATAAAAAAAAAATAACAAATCAAATAAAAAAAAAAATAAATTTGTTTATTTTACCAAGACTATTTGAAGTACAAACAGGTAAAAGTGTATTATTATTATTATTCTCAAGTTGAATAACGCTTGATATTGAATTATTAGATATTGATGGAATAACGATCGAATCTTTTCTAGTTGATGTTATTGTTGGTGTATCAACAACAACAAGTGGAATATTTATTTGATCATTCTTTCTATTATTTGAATTAACATTTGTATCTTCATATTGAGAAGATAAATCGGTTAAAAGAGTCTCCATCATGGCATCTTTCTTTTTTCCTGATAACTTTAAATGATCAAAAAATCTAAGCTGATGGAATTAAGTATTACTTCCGTTTTCAGCGATAGCTGAAAAGAAAAAAGCGATTATTATTTTTTTTTTTTTTGTTGTTCTATTCGCTATCTGATTGATTCTGAGGTTTTGTTTTATCCAATAAGAAGTGGAATGATCAAATGCATTAATGACTAGGGTGTAAAATAGATGTATTTTCACGACGAAGGCGTGACATTGACAATATTATCATTGATGGACGAAGTGTACTTACGCATATGCATTCTTTTTTTACCATTTCAAATGAAGATCGCGTGCTTCTTTTGCTGTTCTATGCAGTGAGCACAGTCGATCAAGTTCTTCAATTATAAACGAATCCTGCCAACTGTTATCCTTCTTTTTTTTATTTCGTCAACAAAAATTTAGATTTGAGTAAATAAAATATATTCATGGATAAATATGAAAAAATCAAAAAAATTGGTGAAGGATCTTATGGTAATTTTTTTTTCCAGGAAAATATAAATGTTAATGAAGGAAAAAACAATTTTCTTTTTTCTTTTAATTAAGGTCAAGTTTTTAAATGTCGCAATAAAGAAACAGGTGAAACAGTGGCAATAAAAAAATTCATCGAATCTGACGATGATCCGGCTATAAAACGCATTGCTATGCGAGAAATTCGCATGTTAAAAGTAATACGAAAAGAAACAAAAAAACAGAAAATTTTATTATTGAGAAAGATTTTTTTTCCTTCTTAAAAATATTTCTTAGCATTTAAAACATGAAAACCTGGTGAATCTCATTGAAGTATTCAAAACAAAACGAAAGCATAAACTTCATTTGGTATTTGAATATTGTGATCGAACTGTTCTTGATGAACTTGAATCACATCGGAATGGGTACAAAAATAGTTTGAATATGTATTTTTTTTGTATCTCTTGTTTTGCTCTATTTAGTGTACCAGAAATTATGATTAAAAAGATAACATATCAAGTACTAAATGCTGTTGATTTTTGTCATCGACATAATGTAAGACAAAAGGAAAAAGATGAATTTTATTAAACTAAATCAAATATATTTTTTTTTAATATTCTTGTAGTGCATTCATCGTGGTAAGATTTATTAATATATTTCTATTGAAATTATTTTTTTGTTCGTATTTTGTTTTTTTTTGATGTGAAACCGGAAAATATTCTGATAACGAAACAAAATATTATTAAATTATGCGATTTTGGTTTTGCACGATTAATGAGTAAGTGCGGTTTGTTGTTTGTTTTTATTATTGCAGCAGATTTTTACTTTATTAAATATAGCACAACAACTTGAAATGACGGATTATGTCGGTAAGTTGTTTGAATGACAGAAAAAAAAGGAATTCGAAGATTTCTATGGTTTTTATTAAATAGCAACAAGATGGTATCGTGCACCAGAATTACTAGTTGGTGATCGACAGTATGGTACTGCTGTTGATGTATGGGCTATTGGTTGTGTATTTTGTGAACTTTACTCGGGTGTACCGTCAGTATTTGTTTGATTGATTTTTATTTATATTATATTTTGTTACAATGTAGATTATGGCCCGGTAAATCAGATGTTGATCAACTTTATCTTATTAGAAAAACTTTAGGTAAAACAAATCCACATTCAATATTGAATAATTTGAATATTTTCTTGTTCTTTTTTTAAGGCAATCTTATTGATAAGCACATAACTATATTAAAAAATAATCCACATTACAAAAATGTTCATATACCTGAACCCGATATAATCGAACCATTAGAACAAAAATTTCCATATGTTACTGAAAGAAGTCTTGACTTTATGAAAGTATGTTTCTTGTTTTCAACGTTTTCGATTCATTATTTATGTTTTGTTTTGGTTTGGTTTTTTTATAGAGTTGTTTAGTTATGGATCCAGATAAACGTTCTACATGTAGTCAACTTCTACAACATCCATATTTTGATGGTTTTACAAATGAATTTGAACGTGAAAAAAAAGAACAAATTAAACATTTACATCGTGAACAACAAAAATTGATACAACAACAAGTTAAACTTCAAAATAATGTTTATGGGACGGGTGCAGGACAAAGTAAACCACAAAATCAAGGAGGAGTAAGTTTTTATTGATGTATTAATTAAATAAAAATAAGTGTAAATATATAAATGTAGTATTTAAAAAAAAATATTAATAACAAACGTTCCAAAGAGAAAAAAAAACAAAATTTCTCGATTGTTTCAGCATTTTCCATCCCTTTCTCGCAATCAAGATCGTGAAGGAGACAATACACCAGCGTCCGACGATCGTGGTGGACGCAATTTTCATTTACCAAATATCTGTACGAGCATTTATTTTGCCCATTATAACAAATATTTCAAGATTGTTTTTTATTATTTTTTTGCAATTGCTTTATTTCACTCTACTATTTATTTATTTTTTTCAAGCACGTATTATTTGCACTTATCCACCTATGTTGATTTGAGATACAAGAAAAAAAAAGATACTATTTAATAATAATAATAATAATAATAATAAGTAAAAGAAAACAAATAAAAAAAATAATGTTATTTTTTTTTGTAGAAAACTCTTCCAACTTTGACGGGCATAACTGGCACACAATTTACAAGTATTCATCCAACATCAACTAATCCAGGAGACTATATAAGACCAAGTCGTCTTGAAATCTATCTTGATCCAGATCAACGTATTAATGTGCCAAAAACACGTTTTGTTAATACACAACATCAAAATACTATGTCAACAAATGATCTAGATATATCTGTAAAACCTTCACCACAAACAAAACGTTTAGCACATGGAGATAATTTTACCCATTTTCCAAATATTTAAAAAAAAATGTCTTTTTTTTTTTCTTACGCTTTAAAAAAAAATCCTTAAATCATTGAGATCTTCTTATTATTGATGTTATTGTTCTTGTTTTGTTGTCATGATATGATGCCCGATAATGTAATCAGTTTTTTTTTTCGCGCATTTTCGTTCTCATGTATAGTGATTTTTTTTCTTGCTTATTATCATACAAATCCTAATATGTATACCGTCTAAATATTTTATTTAAAAAAAAGAAAGCCAAGACAAAATTGAAAATTAACGAAAATTTTTCAAAACAATTGGAACAACATTTATGACGTTCAAAGAGAAACAAAATACTTGAAAACTAGTCATGCAATGCTTTTAAAAGAATAATTAGAAAAAAAAATTGTTCTGCAATATAAGCGTAAAATTGTTTTCACTTAAATAGTCAAAATACAGTTACTTGTCGATCGATGCTTTAAAGCAAACAAAGATTTAGTGTTTTTTTTATTTTAAACAATAATTTCTTTTATAATCATATTAGAAAACATTTAATTGTTGTTTTCTTTTTCTACATTCTATCAGACTAATGATTAATAAAACAATAAGAATGACATCAGATACTTCATAGAAAAAAAAAAAGAATTAATACACAAAGAAGAAATTTTTTCTTGTTAAGTAACATAAACATTTGTGAATCATAAAACAAAAGCAGTGAATATTATTTTAGATAGCAATCATACAAAGAATTGATTTCTATATTGTATATTGAATTTTGCAAGAATATTTCTATAGACCTACAAATGAAATATGTCATCAAGAGTCTGATGACATATATTCAGAACATTGAATAAATTAAAAATGTTACCATGACAAAATCATTGACATGAAAGGTAGATGAATTTAAGTATTGAAAAAAAAAGTGTTCTCGTTCTGATGACTTTATTTTTTGAAAATAACCGTCTGTTTCACTTTGCATTACTTTAATCTCGTCCGAATAAATCAATCACGACATCGTTTTGTAATATTTACAAGTCATTCAGTATTCACTGAAAGAGAAAATAATCATGTTCTGAAATTAATATGTTTATATCATTTACTGATCAAAAACTAAATTTATTTTCTAAACATTATATAAAATCAATAAATTGATTATAATAATGCCAAAAGTCACATTATAGTTTACTGACGTTTACCATCACATTACAAGAAAAAAGTATAGTATATGTAAACTATTCAAAATAACTATAAGGGCATTGTTTCTTGAAAACTTTTTGTGATAAAGAAAAATTAGATTCTCAGAAAAACAAAAGAATATGTTTGAAAACATTATAATTATTAATCGCCCACTTCCATTCTGGTTTTAGGCGGAACAGAACGAGCAGACGCATTAACCTATGTGGGAAGTAGTTTGATGACTCGAGTGACGTATGGAAAAGAAAAAGAGAAAGAGGAACGAATTGAAACATAGTACTTTGCCTTTTTCTATTATTTGGCTGATATGATAAAAGAAAAAAAATGAAGATATGACATAATATTTTTAATAACACAATACTTGTACTTTAGACATGAAATTGTTTTTCAAAAAACGTCCTTTTGGCCTCTGAGTACAAATATTATCTATGAAAGCATGTTATCAACGATAAATATTTTGTTCGACTTTTAGTTTGATGAGATTAATGAAAAAAAACCATGCATGATATATAGATTATTTCTTCTTTAACCTGCCTGTGATTGGTACAGGGTCCATTCAATAGTTCAGCATTTCCTGTTTGCGAAGATGGTATAAAATTTATGAAATGTATTTGATTTATTAAGAAATATTTCCGTCAATATTTCTTCTATTCGTCTACACTATTTTATTTATTTAATCGAAGTATATGTCATTTTTTAAAAAAGCACAATAAAAACTGTGTTACTTGAGCCAAACCTATATCATGTATATGTTTTGGTAAAGACCAATCTTTGGTTTGAATCGTCGTATGAAGAGAAACGTGAGATTTGTCTGAAAAGGTTGAGTGAGAAAACTCAAGGTTAAGAGTCTAGCAACTAGTTGATGGGTAGATGGCTCTTGCTTGTTCGCGCTACATATAGAAATATTGCATATTCATCATCGAGAAGTCTAACAGGTATAAACGACTATTACATGTTATTTCTTCCTAGAGATTTGTAAAAACCTGAATGCAAAAAAGAAAAGGATATGTTTTTTTGAAGCCACTTCCATTAACCGAATAATAATAATAATAATACACCAAACATGCTAGTTTCCATCGGTCTAAACGATTTTTTGAACCGATCGAACTGCATCAATTCAAAAATTCTCGATCTGACATAATTCTGATTTGAATACGAAGAACCTACGCATTTATCTTAGAAGACAAATTTCTCTATCAATATATGTTGAACTATTTCAGATCTCAAAAATGATAGTTAGTCGCTACTGTTAGAATACACATTCAAAAAAATTTAATGAAAAATAAATTTTGTTTCCTTATTTATATGATAATTATCGTCACTCTGAAAAAAAGTAATAAAGAACATATTGGTAAAAAATCACGAAAAAGCGAAGGTATATTATAATGAATAACCAACGAAAAAATTCGCTAGCATCAGAATGTATTAATGGCAGTCGTTGATTCGCTAAAAGCTGCGCTTTTTTAAATTATAGTTTTCGTTTATTCTTGTTTACAAAAGTAACTTTCCAACTAGTCAGAACAAGCAACTGTTGCGATAAAGACTAAACAGAAATAAAATGATAAATTTGTGGGAATAAGTTCATTGTTTATGAATCCATCTTTGTATAGTATTCTTTTCCGTTCGCACACATTTTGACAACGATATGAATGAAGTTTTTGCATTCTGACATTATTTCTTTTGTCAGCGCCTACTTAAAAATAGTTGTTTGTTCTGACGAGTTAGAAAGTCTTCTATATTCATTTATGTCATACTATCTGTCATGATACATCTATTATTAGATTGCTTATTCTTTCTTACTTGTGTGCTGTCCTTATGTATTATTCTATCTTGTCTACTCTTAGAGAACATGTAGCATTTTTGCTTCATTCGTTTTTTTCTCTCTTCACCGCTCTTCTTTCTCCAATGTATCCCTCTTGAATGAGAAGAAACAGTATCGATATGTCACTGTATGTGAGGAAGAGAGAAATGTTTTGAACGAAGAGATATATAGTGTACCTTTTTGTTTGTGATTATGTGTTTGTTTTGTTATTCTTTGCTTTTAGAAGAAAAGAATCGGGAAGACAATGCAAAGAGCAAATAGAGAGTTAATATACATTATGGATAGAAATGAACAGATGAATATGTATTAGCAGATTAAACTAAACTTTCTGTTATGAGATCTTAATTCTACTTGTGTAGTTTATTTCTGTATTTTTTTCGCTCTCTTGACACAAACACTGAATAACTATATATAGGACGAAAAAAACAAAGGCAACAATTCATTAAATGAACAGATTCATAGATGATAAATATGAAAGGAAAAATTCATGAGGCATAGCTAAGAAAACGAAACATAAAACACAATGAAAAGAAAAAGAATATAAGTGTGTAGGTATAATGATATACCTAAAGAGAGAAACTGTAATGACTGCATCTGAAGAAAATACAAGTTATGTAACATGTAGAAGTTTTATTTTCTTGATTTAAGTATTGAATAAAATGTTTTATACAACAATTCTCGGTTTTGTAAACGTCATATCGACCATACCAAGATCTATATGATTGACAAACCAATAGGTTACAGTATCTAGTGAATTGAACGTTGGGTCCATCTTTTCACTAAGTACAAGTATTACAAAGTCTTGGCAATATTTTTTGTTTCATAACAATCTTCGCTCTCTCATGATTTCTGCAAACCATTGGCATATCCTAGAGTCTCGGCAAAATTCATATTGGTTCGAAATTTATCATCATACAAAAGTTATATGCTATCGTCCATAATAGCAATATAGACCGTGTTGATAGCTCTCTCCTTTTTGAAATATTGAATTACAATACCTTCATTACCAAACTCGATTATACAAAGGAATGTTTTGCCTTTGAGAAGTCACGTCCAGTGTTTCTGATTAAAGAGAGTCGAAATAGCACATCCAAGAAATTCAATTTCCACATGTAACTCCATTTCCTTCCAACCTGGAAGATCGTCACCATTTGGATGTTTGTCCAAAAAGATAACGACATCTTTTTAAGCAGAACCTCCAGTAATAGGTTTGCTTAAGGCTCCTGATGCAGACATAATCACTGAAGATAAAGATCTAGATAAAGATGATATTAAAGACGCAAACATGTTAATTTCTAAACAAAATAAAATATCATCGATTATGAATTGAAAATTAACAAAATTCATTGATTTCAATGCTTGTATTAATATATATTCAAAACAATTTTTCGATGAAGTGATTCGTTGATTATATTCGAGAATAGCAAATCGATGTAGAACATTGATTGTATAGAGAAGAACTTACGAGAGAACCTCTTTGGGTGTCTAATCGCTTTTCTATTGAGACGATGTTCATTTGATGAATGCTATAGATTATTAGAAAAGTCTAGAATGGTTTGATTTTCCAGGTCTTCGTTTTCAAGATATCAAAATTTTACTGGGTTTTTCAACAAAAAGCTGTGGTTCCCATTCAGGGTCACGTGAGAGTTTTGATTTCAAACTTTGCACGAATAAAGTTCTTGATGAGATTAGTTGATTGTTCAAGCTTTAGTTTTTCTAGTATTTCATTTCTAGAGATGTAAATATATGAACAAAATTTGCTTTTATACATAAGCGAGTTTCGAATATTGAATATCTCAGGATAGGAAACATTAGAAAAGTTATAACTTGCCCAATGAACTAATCTCAGTGAGAATGTTGTTCTTGCAAAGTTTGAAGTCGAAACTCTTAAGTAGATTTTTCATGCGACTTGAGAAGAAACATAACTTTTTGTTGAAAATACCAGTAAAATTGCGCTATCTCGAGAACGAAGGCTTGAAAAACCAAACCATTCTAGGCTTTTCTATTACTCTTTAGCATTAATCAAATGAACATCATTTCGATCGAAAAGTGATTCGACATTTGAAGAGAACTAAACGTCAGTATATATTGAAAAAAAGAGCGGATAAATCCATACTATTAATCTCACTATTCTTGATGGATACTTTGCGACTTGATCTTTTCCTTCTACACTCACACACGGATAAACGTCATATCCCGTTACTATTTTTATTCAATCATTGATCCTATAGTAGTTAATGACATCAATGTTTGGAAAAGTTCCGCTGCAGAAAAAACAACAACATCGCATTCATACTATCTTCTGTTATAGGTATTTCTTGGTGAAAAATGCGTTATTTTTTATGCAGATTATTTCGACGAAGTCGGCCTTTATTTGATTTGTTAAGTCTTTGCTGGTTGTAATATTTTCTGTTTTTTATTGTGAGCGCTTGCAAATAATTGTATTTTTGATTAGACAAGTGAGAAAAGTGAGATAAAATTGAAGATAACGCAAAAGAACTTTTCTTTTCTAATGCAAATAGTCGATAAACAGAAGTAGATGGTAAGATATGATTTTTATTACGAGATAAATTAAATACAACTTACTAAGAATATGCAAAAACGTTTCAATTTGCTTAGTGAATAGTGGCTAAAAAGACACAAAAGGTTCTTCAGTTTGAACATACTAATGTCCGCGCCACAATTAAAGAGGTATGGGTGTAAGCTCAATGGCTCGACAACGGTAATAACTAGTGATCTGCTGTTTTCATCAATCGAAATAGGAGAACTTCGAATATCGTTACTGCCTGATACTATATAAGACAAAATTATTTTAAAACTCATCATCTTCGCAAAATGTTCAAAAAAAAATGCATGAGAATGGTGTTCCGTTTTGATACAACTTTGATTTTGATGTGTGTCTGAGATAGAGGAACTTCGGATCTACAGTTCAAGGCATAATGAGAAGATTATGATCTTCTCATATCTCAATATTGAGAAAGCAAAATTACGTATATATTCGGCCGAATTATATAGAACTCTGTTGGTTTTAAGCAAATTTTATGACTTTTTATCAAAATTTCCTTGAAACGAATCACTTTTTTGAAATATTCTTTTGAATGTTTTGCGAATATGATAGGTTTTAAAATAATTTTGTCGTATATAGTGTCAGACAAAAAGGCATTCGAAACTTGTCTCTTTCGATTGTCGAAAACTGCAAGTCACTAGCTATTACTATCGTCAAATTATTGAACTTACACACATCTCGGTTTAATTTTGATGCGGACATTGGTTCAAATTTCAAAATTTTGAGTGATAAAACGTTAGAAACAACTCAGGGAACATGAATTTTGTATTTCTGATAGCTTTGCAATGTTTAAATCGGTTATTCAAATTACTGAAGGCAAAATACGATAATCTTCATAAACCGAAGAGGCTTTTCATTTTGATCTGATGTTCGGAATAAAATTGCCTGACATCTGTCGATGATGTATTGCCATTGAACACGCTGTTTTGTGCAATGGACATATTTGTATGCTTTCGTCCTTCTCTCTGCCGTCTTGTTTTGTTTGACTCTATTCTCTTTCAAATAATGAATCCTGCCCGATATTTTATGCGAATAAATCTAGTTCAAGTTAATTTTAAGTGATTTGTATCGTTCGTTTTGGATGTTTCATCAGATGTTTTATTGCGAAATTGTACATGTTTATTAGAACTATAACTATTCTTTCAGAACTATATATAAAGATATTGGTGACGGGATATTAATTTAAAAAGTAACTATATGCATACTTGAAAAGCAAGTTTCTTGTTTTTTGTTTATTTTCGAGTTCTTTTGAAGAAAAATAGCTCAGCAATGGAACCAAGAGCAAAGTTATAGTCTTAGTCGAAATGTACAGGTTAATAATAAATCATTCAATCATACATGACAACATACTGTGAAAGTTACTTAATATTAAAAAAATAACCTTAAGTAACTTCGTCATTTTTCTTCTGCTCGTCACATACATGAATCATATTCAAATAGGTGATGTTTACTAAAAATGAATCACAATCACATTCTCTTATTTAAGTTAATGAAATTTTAAGATCAAAGAGAGAAGCAAGCAAAGGAAAGAATGTAGAATTAAAGTACTAATATGTGCACTAGTAATAATGAGACAATATTTTTTTTTCTTATCATACTTCGTGTTTGAGGATCTATCCGTAGCGGTTTTAATTCGTGAGAAATATCATTATAGTCATTCATTAGTTCTTACATTTTGATTGTTGTCGTATTTTTTTTCTTTTTCATCATATTATAAAGACAATAGTATTACTATTTGATGAAAAAGAAAACACATTCTTTAGCATAAACTAATCAACACTGTATTTAGTTTTGTACATTAAAGAATCCATAACAATTCAATTATATCGAAAATAATTTTACAACAACTATTTTGCTATATTTTCAGTAATGTTGATCATTATTAGTAAGGAAATAAATCTTTCATTATGTAAACTTTTCATTCTTTTACTTCACTTGTTCTAAACTTTAAAGTATATTTCATTATATTAAAAAAATAGATTACATTAAATTATTTGCTAGCTTATATGTAATACAGAAGTTCCACATTTCAGCCCCAAAGAAGCTGCACTAAGAAGCTTTGTTTTAGCTTTCCATCTTTCCGTGTTACATTTGCATATCTATGGTATTTTTTTTCATCTGAAACGTTCGTTGTTGTATATCACTCCCGCTACTAACTCAAATAATGAACTTCTACTCACCACCATGCATATGTAAGACGAGAAGAAATGTGTTTTTCTGTAGCACTACTGTGTTTTTGTTTAGATTCTAGAAGTTAGTCAGATTTCTCATAAAATGTTCAAGCGCACAGTATTGAGGGATGCAAAATTCGCTATGATTTACTTTCTTCAAATTGCTATTGGATTCTGAATCTTTTTCACTTATACATTTTCACATGGTTTATTTACTTATAAATACACGGCAAATATTCATACGAATTTTTATCGTTTATTTTTGATAAATTGAACGTATAATTTATCTTTTATAGATTTTATTGCTATTTTTGAACAAGTGAAACACAGTATATTATTGAAAAAAACACTTCTAACGACATTATTCATAACGGTAAATTGAATAGATTGTTATTTTGTACAACTGTAAAATCCTATCACTGTAGAAAATTCTTTTCAATTCGGAAAATATTGTTCATTGAAGCGTTCAGGAAAAGAGAATAACAGTTTCGAACGGAATAAAATTGTCAACCGATTATAATGTACTCTTGCATATGTTAGAGTCTCACCCACCGAAGAACAGAGATAATTGTTAGCTTCACAAAATCTTTTCTTTTGTCATTATTCATACTCTATAGCATGATGAATCGATAGTCATTGAAAATGAAAAACGAATTCATATGATAAAAGAACAAAAAATATTGAGAAAGACGTACAATTCCATATATGAAATATAATCTTTCTATTCTTACTGTAAACAAAATATTTTTTCCAATGGTTGAACTTTGAAGCAACACATATAATATAAATTTTATTTGATTTTATTATTTAGATTCTATTTCTTTTATCAAATATTTTCTAAACATGGTAATTGAAAAATTTCTCTTTCCGGCACCAAATCCATCTCATTATACATTGACATCGCATAAAGAACATCTTTTTTGGCTTCCATCTGATTCAAATTCAACTAAAATACCGTCAATTCCATGTATGCTTTACTCATCATCACGTGAAGTTCATTTTTTCATTATTTGGTGCCATGGGAATGGTTGTGATATTGGCAGCATGGATATGACATTGACATTATTGAGTCGACGACTTCGTGCACATGTACTCATCTTTGAATATCCTGCCTATGGTTTATTGAAAGGAATAACATCATCACCAACCCAAGCATCAATAAATAATCATGCCCAACATGCCTATTCGTTCGTTCGTGATACGCTCAAATGGCCAACGAATCGTATAATTATCTATGGACATTCAATAGGGTCTGGTGCTGCATGTCATCTTGCCTCAAGTCAACCAGTCGGTGCACTCATTCTTCAATCTGCATATACATCGATCAACAATTTACTTCGAGAAAAAATTGGCATATTATCATTCATGGTCACCAATTCATTTTGGGATAATTATGAAGCAATGAAACATATTACATGTCCAATATTATTCATTCATGGACAACGTGATATGTTAATTCCTTCACATCATTCTCAAAGATTGTTCGATTCATTGAATCTTATTGATAAGAAACAACTTATCTTGTTACCGAACGACGATCACAATTCGATATCCGATTCGACGATTCTGATACATGTGGAATCGTTTCTCAATCAGTATCTTCAACCGGCAACAGAACCATTACCTCGAATAGAAATTGATCCAGTTTTACGTGAACCGTCACCAATCAATCTGAACTCAAAATCCAGTCTTTTCTCGTCTCTATTCTGCAGGTCAAACAATGCTACTAGATCAACGCTAACTTCATTCAGTGCAAAATGCAGCGATGAATAAAACAAAACGTTTATTCTTCTAAAATAGTTTCGATTGAACGTTGTTTTCAAGCGACATGGTCGGCTTAAACTCATCCGAGTCTTTTATACTACATAAAACTGAAACTTTTATGAAACATAATTTTTAATGAGCTTCGAATTGTCCAGTGACAAAAGTGAATCATCCTTAAGCTGATTCCACAGACTCATTAGAGCTATGTCAATGTACTACTTTGTATTTTTGGATCTTCGACGTTTAAATTTCGGATAAATAAAAAACTCGAAGTGCTAAAATCCCACTTTTTCTTCTTTCAATGCTGTTCCTTTGAACTTGACTTGAACTGTGATTTTTTTACATTTCTGAGCTGACTGAAAAGTAGCCATAAAAATATTCCACGTAGACTTGTGACTTTTATCTGGTCATAGATGAATCAGAAAAACAGTAATAAAAAAAAACTTACAGAATATTTTGGAATCTTTCGGATAATCGATGTTATGATGATCGAAATTAGCCAATAACTCAATAGTGGGTGTGGGTAAGCAGTGGCACGAATGATTGCAATATATTAGTATATGTCCTAAGGAATAATAAGAAATATTAAAAGTAGACGATGTTGAGCGAAATCGATTGAGCACTAATACAAAACGAAAGTTATCATTGCTCTGACTAGACACATGACCAGTAAATGTGATCGTGTATTTCAATGGTCATGGCTTCAGGATGATTGCATACATCGAATCACAACAAATTCTAAAAAAAATGAACTGAACAAAGAAAATGACTAACTGTATCACAGTGACAACTCAACAAGAAAGTAGAACACCAAGATGATGATAGAAAGTAGAAAACGGTTAATAAAGAGTATTGATGTCTGAAGGCTAGTTAGTTCTTTTGAGGATTGATTTTTTTTACAGAAAAAAAGTTAGATTTTCACTTACAAAATCAATTGTGGTTGAAAATTATTATTCATAAGTTTTTCATCGTGATTTAATGCAAAAGATGCACAACGTTTATTTTGAAACAGCAGAAACAAAACATACACCCAAGAAGTATAATAAACAACAATTCAATAACATATAAGAAGGAGAGTTAATAGAAAGATGGTTAAAATGTAATAATGTATGAAATTTCTCGACACAACTAACAACATAAAGACCTGCATTACAATCTTTACATATATAGTGTGAATCAGTCCTCTTTCTTTGATTAGTGTGTACACATACAATACAAATTTTCTGAAGAGTTTTTCTATTTGTTAATTGAGGTACAAGAGATGGAAAGTGCTTAACAGAAGTCTAGTTGATTGATAAGTTAATACAGGACGACCTATTGTAGATTTTGGAGCACTATAAGTTGCTAAGGTTTTATGAGTAAGTTATAAACAATAATCTATACATTTAAGTTTGTTTCCAGTATTGACTTTATAAAGCGAGTATGTCGTGAACGACGGCAAACTACACTGGCGGGAAAACATTTCCAACTGTTATATCGCTTTTGAGTTGAGTGTAAGCGCATCATGTAGGCTCTAATGATCTATGAATACTCCGAAAAAAGTTCGTGTCGCTGCCTTATTACTGCCGAGATATTGCATTTTTACCGTATTTATAAGCAAAAAGCCGTGGACCCCTTCAGGAACACCAGAAAAGCTGAGTTTCGAATTTCAACTTGAAATTTTGTACAGGGACAGGTCTCAATGAGAATAGTTTATTATGAAAGTTTCAGATCTTTTGATTGCTCCTAGTCTGAAATAAGAATATCGGAATCTGCTGGTGTATATAAGCTATTTTACTATAGCTGTATCTTAGGACAGGAACAATGAAAAGGTCTGAAACTTTCATAACAAACTATTCTCACTAAGGTCTATCTCTATGCAAAGTTTCAAGTCGAAATTCGAAAGTTAATTTTTCTAGTGTTCTTGAGGGGACCATAGCTTTTTTTCTTAAACATACAGTAAAAATGCATTATTTCGGCAGTAATAAGCAAGCAGCACGAACTTTTTTCAGAGTATTCATAGATCATTATGGCCTACATGATGCGCATACGTTCGACTCAAAAGCGATATGACAGTTGGGAATGTTTCCTCGTTAGTCTATTGAGGCCGTCTATGTATAACTCAACTTCTTCCTCCTTCATTTTTGTTGTAATGAAAATATCATCCACATATGTCCGTAACTTTAATAATTAATTAACTTTTTCATGTGTTTTTTCATATAATCATCCATGTAGACGTCTACTAAAATGAACGGTAATATATTTCGCATGCGTAAATCTCGTTTTTGTCTACAAAATATCCGATTGAATTGACAATAACTATTGTTTAATGATAGTAATAATATTTGTTTTAGATCTGTTACTGTTAAGTTGGATGTACAGAAATTTTTCGAATTGTCGATAAGGTTGATGGTTATGTCTACTGCTTTAGTTACAAGTATGCTTGTAAAAGGATCTTGGACATCTAGACTTATGAATTGGTCTTCGTCGTCTATTTTAATTTTAGAAATCTCTTGAATGAATTTGGACATGTTACACACTGTGTTGTTCATAGTTTCTCTTAGCTGTTTGATGAATAAAAATGCATATATTGATAATGGTGATAGGATCGTATTTCTTGTACTTGTAATTCTTCTCATCAGATGATCTTTTTTATATAGTTTTGGTTGATCTCTAATGTTTGAGAGATCATCAATCGATGAAAATTCATTTTTTATATTTTCATTAATGCAATTGTACTTGAATAATCTATTGGTAAGTTCTGTAATTTTATTTTTGATAATATTAGTTCGATCTTTTACGACTTCATATATGGATTAGTCGTTTAATTTTTCTTCGATTTTATTTGTGTATTCTTGTTTGTTTACTATAGCAATTTTCTCCTCTTTATCTACTTGAACTATGATCACATCTTTCAATCCTTTCAATGCTTGTTGTTCTTCAATATTCATATTATCATTTTTATTTTTATTTTTAGATCTTTTCTATTGTTTAATGAAAGTGATGATTTAGGATCATGGCTAATTGTCTTGTGATTGTCGATCTCATATATAATAAAGATTCCATGTTTGATATTATGTAAATTAAATTTATCGATTTCGATGTTAGTGCAAATTTTAACTTTTTTAATAATACTTGTAATTGATCTTTGGTCAGTTGTATATTTGAATTATTTATCATATTTATTGTAACTATATATATTGTTGGTGATGTTTTTGTTTGAATGATTTTTTGGTTGTCTATTAATGTATTAAGTTCGTTTTTATGTTTCTTAATCAATGTTTCTTTTTTCTTTTTATTATGCTTATTCATTCATTTTTATATCATTTTCGTTTATGTCTTTGAAGATGAATTTGTTTCATCTATTGGTTGAGAATATTTTCTTGTGTAGCAATTTCAATCATTAAGTGTCGTTTCTGTTTGTATCGCCATTCTAATACGTTATTTCTAATTTTAGTCTTTGTTTCATTTAATATTTTATCATTTTTATTGATATCAGTTGTGTTGTTCACATACATTCCTTTGGAAATTATCTATTCTTTTTTTAACATTGTTTCAAAAATAAAATAAATAATGATGTATTTTCATTAATCTTTGATGTAAATTCTCCATATTTAAAGCGATTGCATATACATTTTTTTTCTTCAATTGTCAAGTGTTTGTTTCAGATTAAATGTGAAAAACTTAATCTCAGAAGGTCATTGATAAATAACTTTTCTATATTCAGTATGTCACGCTAAATCTAAAACAAACAGTTTTGAAATTTGAAGGAAACAAAAAAAACGACTTAATTTTCATAAAAAGCATGCTATCATAAAATTCTGTAATTTTTCCCCTAAAAATTCATTCGAAAATAATGAAAATACCCATATTCTTGATCATTTCGGCACGGGCTATCTAACCACATATAAAAAAGAGACAAAAAATTCTGCTTTAATTTTGTATTTCCCGCATCTTAGCTTATTTGATTATAATCAAATAATCTTGATTTTTTTTTCATTCGTAGAAAAAAGCCAAAGTCTCAATAATAATTAGACAACTCACATCCTCACTTCATGTTTCACTACTAATATATTTAAAAAAACCAGCTGAAAGTGACATACATGTTCCTATGATGGATCATTGCTCAAGGACATTTCTTCTGTATGAACAGTTACGCATGGACAATTATTTATGAGAACAACAAGTCGAGAACATTTTTCAAAGGACAGTTAAGATCCAATTCTTTCAATTAATCCAATCAAAAATATTATATTTTTACAGCATGTGATATAAAAAAAATCCGAAATTTGCAAGAAAATTCAGTAAATTCCAAAAAAATAAATCTTGGCAGACCTTCACATAATAATCTTTCATGCAACAGACACGTCTTGTTTTTATCGATAGATAGTTTGTTTGCGTGGTATACATTGTTTTGTTTTTTCGTTGATTACAATTTAAAATGGTTATATCACGACATAAACAATGATTCGAACTGTCAAGAAAAATGCAACTTGTATCAATCAAAAGTATAATGGTTACACCTTGTTAGATAAACAGTGAGAAAGAAAAAAAACATATTATGATGCGGCGTGTTGTTTTTCATGTATTTGAAGTATTGATGATATCAAATGGCACAAGGATATTGAGCGATTTTTAATTTTAACCTTGATTTGGTATATTCTAAACGCCATTCCTCTTTTTTTATGAAAAGAAGTGCAGTGAACTAATCTATAAGAACAGATAACGCTCAGATATGTTTCCTTTTGAACAAGGAGCTTTTAAGACTGGAAAAAAACAATATTTGAAAACTATGGTATTTCAATAAGTAACAACTGCCATAGAAGAAAACACGATCAGCAGCGTTTTCATCGCAGTTTCCAGAATTCTTACTGCATATCTTTTAAAGTTTCTGAATGAGGGTCAGTGTAAATCTATTCAAAACGTCATAGTCAATTCAAAGTATAGTTGCTTTATGGTGATAACCTATTTTTAATGAAGAGATCATAAAAAATCACATGACTGCAAAACATTTATACAATCTACGCAAT